AAGGGTCACCCCTATTTCTATTCATCGCTTAGTTCTTGATAAGTGTTAACTGATTTGATGATGTTATCGTCATTGCTTGTGACAATTGACGGCACAAAATAACATGAACGCCATGCAAACGATTTAGATCTGACACGATAAAAATTATTAACATGTCTTTTATTTTTATCATCAATGGTAAATTAACTAAATATAAGTAATCTTTAAAAAATAGTCTGTAGTACACGTAACACATCATCACGGCGTTTCATAAAAGAGCCATTGAATCCTATATACACCTTTATATATATATATATATTTATGATATGAATTAAATTGACTTTTCTATTCTATGTTTATGTATAGTAGTATTCCATGTTGCTGTGAAAAGATGATTGATGTCATAATATGTTTTCGGCAGGAAATACCAAGTCGCAATAAAAAAAAGGGACCTTATGATAGAATCCAGACATCTCTTGTATATATTGCTACATCGAATCAAATATATACAACCATGATATTTCTATCAACGATAGAAATAATTTTTTGTTTAAATTATTAGTTCAAGAACGGCAGAACACTATGTTGAGTTATAACACACATCTGATTCATATTATAATTGAATTTTTTTTCTATAGTTCGATTCAGATTTCTAATCGAGTAGGATACATGCTGATGTAAAATACGACGACAATATGAATAATATTATCATAAATTGACGAATACAAACATTTCTTTCATTGAAATATATGTTGAATTATTGATCGAATAAGAGTCAAATTTAAAAGAAAATGTTATTTCTCAAATATATCTACAAATTTTTATTGATAGATTTTAAGGGTAGAAAAATTGATGTTATTTTCAATCTATGTTTAGTAAAGTAAAGATATAGCTCTGTAAAATTTATATATATATATATATATCAATCATTCGTATGTATAACCCTATTCAGCAGTTTATAGAATTGATTTTTAGTTTATAATTGTTAGGTAATAACACTTCAGAATGATCAATCATTTCTGATATTTACCAGATAACCATTTGTTCTCTGTATTGATTCAATAAAGTAAAGTAACTTCAAAAGCTATTTATTCTCTAAGAGCAAATAGATTTAACACACGAAATAATCATGTGCAATGTGATATAAAACTATTTATGTTTCCCAATGTCCTATAATCCTTTTTTGCGTGAATACGAAATCTAATTAAACCTTTGATGAAAACAATTTTAAAAGCTTTCTCTTTATTCAATAATTAGAATTGTCGCAATTGCAAGCGCATGTATGGTTTCAATAAATGAATTCAACGATGATCTTTGTGAAATCACCGATGAAGATGAAGATGATAATAATTATCTATTCAATAGTAATAAAATTCTTCTTGATGATGAATTCAATCCATCTATATCTATGGCATCATCGGATAAACAGAGTGCTAATCAACAAGAATGGGTTCATGATCTTCTAGCACTGAGCTCATTAATGTCACATCATATAAATTCGAATGATTTTATATCATCTGAAAGTCGACTTATTCATTCGAAATTTCAACGTTTATTTCATTTTCTTGTTACCGATGTATATACTGAACCAATCAAACAAGCTTTAGGTGACGAAATTTCAAATTTAGCTGAAGTTGATGATGCTCTAATCAAACTAAATAGAAATGCAACATTAAAATTTCGAAATTATAAACAATTTCGTAAACAAGTTTGTTTCGTATTTTCTTGGTGATCTATCATCAAGGAATATTTTATTTTTAGCAACTTGTATCTTCGAATGTATCGACAAATATGAGACAAACAATTTCTAGCTCAAACATTGGACGTTATCGAATGTTTCGATCAAAAAGTTCGTTTAGATATTTTGTTCATTGGCTTCTTCATAGTTCATTTTTTACATGGTTTATTAGTATAATCATTTGTCTAGATGTAGTACGTATTAATAGTTAAGTGGTGCGAATTTTTCTCATTATGAATTTTCACTATAGATTAGCGTTGCCATTACATCAGAATATAGTTCACCCAATGATTCGAAATCTCTTGTTTACAATATAGCTGTATTCATAAATCGATGTATTCTATTCGTATATTTATTTGAAATAATATTTAAATGGATTGGTAAGTTCTATCACAGCGGAAGACTGCTTTATAGGTTGTTGCTTTTTCTTTATTTTAGAAAATTTTATAAATTTCTGGTATTCACCTGCAAATATTCTTGAATTTATTCTTACTATTATATCGTTAAGTAATTTAATTAATGAGATTTATTTCGATACAAAAAATGATAATAGTATAGAAATCAATAGAAAATTTCATAACAATAATCCAAATACAACTGATACTCTACAACGAATTAAGTATGTTAGTTGATACATTCATTTTTCCTATTAAAAATTTGAAGATGAAGTTTTTTCTTATCCCTACTCGCTTGTGATTAAATAAAAATAAATTTTTTTCGTGCATTTAGATCCTATGGATCAATATTATCTTTATTACGAACATTACGCATGTTACGTGTTCTACGTTTGCTGGAAATAGCATTTTATTTTACACAAGTTCGAATTGTTTTTTTCGCTCTTAGTCGTTCTGTTAAACTTATCTTTCATGTTGTTCTTCTAACTATTGTACTCAATTATTTTTTTGCACTCATTGCTCTTTATTTAACCCAATTCGGATTGAATACGACATCAAATGAGCAGAGAAAAAAAATCAATGCATTATTTGGAACAGGTTTCAGAATATAAAATTCGATATTCTCGATTGAATTTTCTTTCGTTAATAGTACCTCAAGCGTTTATTACTGTTTTCCGTATATTTACAAAAGATGAATGGTTTGAAATTAAAACGGAAATGTATTCTATACAAATTAAACCATTTATCATTGATTTATATGTCATGATTTGGTTATTTTTTGGTGGCTACGTGCTTAATCCATTACTTATTGGAGCAATGGTAAAGATTTCTTTTTGTCAATTTAATTCAACGATTAATCTTTAGGATAAAGATCAACTTTTTAAAAATCTTTACTAAATTTAGGTAGGCACATTTGATGAAGCTCGAAAAGAACTAAATTCAACTCTAAAACGAAAAATATCTACTATTAATTCATCCCTTGATGAAATAAATCTTCTAGCTGATAGTCCATCATCATTACTTACTAATATCAATAACGATAACGATAAATTCAGTCAATGGCTTCGTACTACTTCCGATGAAATTAGTTTACTAGGTAAAAAGAAAGTGAATTCAACATGAAATAGATCTTTCGTTTTTTTGTCATTTAGTTCAAGATCGAATTGAAACTCAATGGCCACTTTATACAGCTTTTTATTATGTTCAATTACTTGAAATATATTTTGAAAATATAGCTGAACGACAACTTCTCTTTGATTTTATTTCTATTTCTTTGTTAGCATTGCATGATAAAGAAACAACATCCATTGATCCACCGATTCTTTCATCATCATCATCATCATCATCATCATCGTGTGATGATGATAATTGATATTTCACTTTTTTTTTTGTATAGTATATATCGTTAGTACTACTTTGAAAATAACTACTGATAATGATTGATAGATGAATAAAGCACATGTCCGTGAAACAGATGTCTGAAGGACAGAACAGCAGCCAATAGATTTTTCTTTATTTGTATCTTTTTGTTTGTATTGTTCCATAGAGAATTGAATTGCTACTAAAATGCTTTTAATTTGCGTGCAGTAAACATGCAATGCATACGAGTTCGATGTGTGGATAAAATGTTTTCTTTTGTTATATTATTCATTTCGAAATTAGGAATCTTCTGTGCTACTATGTGAATCTATTGGTGATATTTGATCTTTTGTTTCGAAAATTGTCATTTGAATAATAAATGGTCGTGCATAACCCATACGAACGAGTAAATATTCTAAGACAAAAAAATTAACTTTTATGAAAAATAGGGAACATTTCCTTTATTTGTTTCCGTTTACGAAAAGCAAATAAAAATTCTTCCAAATACATCAATAAGATAAAAAATGTAACAGTGAACATTAATTCTTGATTTTTGTATTGATTAAAACGTCGATAAAACGGGGAAATTTCTTTAATTTCACATAATTCATAATTAGATAAATGTGACATTGAAAAACAAATCAATGTACTACAGTATAAAAGAGCGCGTATTGTGAACCAATCAGTCTCTTTTAGTTATGCACCGCTGGCAAATGTGGTACATAGTAGATTTTTCAAATGTACTACATTAGCCCGGTGTAAACGAAAAAAGTTTAATCTCCATTGCAAATATTATACAATGGCTAACAGAACAAAAAGATTGTTCTAGTCTTTCGTGCTTTCAAAATCATGTATTTGACAACGAAAATCTAATAAAATATGAATGTAATGCTTGATTTTAATTGTTCGTAGAAGAACAACGTGATGATTTGTAACGACGACAAGAAAAAATCACTCACTCTATCACGCCTTTCTTTACACCAATCAGTAATCATCATTCGACCTCTATAATGATCTTCGTAAAAAATCGAAATCATTAAGAAATCGAAATATTTTTCAAATGACTTAAATTTTATCTTTTTCTTTTTTTAAATAACTTTTTAAAACAGCCAATCAAAATGTATCGTTCAACTATTTCTAGATCAATATCCATCAACTCATATCATCTCATCTCATCTCATACTGTCAATATTATTGAGTAAAGAAACTCTATCATGTCGTTTACTTCATCATCAGATGATGATAATGATGAAAATTGTCTCGATCGAAATAATACTGAAATACTTAATTCACAAAAATCTTTAATTTATAAACATCCATTATTTCCCGTACTTGCTTACGTACTCGAACGATGTGAACAAGCAACAGTTAATCCATCATTTTTAACAATGAAAGATGATTGTCAAACATCATTTGAAGATAATTTAAAAAAGTTCTTAACAAAAAATAATGAGATATTAACCATAACTCGAGATCATAATGATTTATCCTCAGTAATTGATGAATTTTATATTGATGCAATGCAAGTACTTCGTATTCATTTACTTGAACTCGAAAAACTCGATGATTTATGTCGAGATTTCTGTCAACGTTATGTTGCTTGTCTTAAAGTTAAACTTAATCCAAATAATTTATTTACTGACGACGAAGAAGAAGATGTTGATAATGATGATGAAGATTTCGAGTTAAATAATGATGAAGATTTTGAATCCGCAGAAGAGAATGATGAAGAATTCATGTTTAATCAACAACAGATTACTACGAATCATATTTTTAAGACACAATTTCACAGGTGAGTTAAACACAAAGCAAAATAAAATTCATCTTGAATTCTATATGTTAGTTTTATTTTTAATATTAATGATGAATCTTATTAAACATGCTATAGCTTCATAGTTATCTACATACCTGTAATCTAACTTGAATTAATACGGATGTGGAGATAACATTGAAGTCATTTTGATCGAACTTTCCTAGAGAAAGCGACAAGGCCAATGTGTATCGGTCTTTTGTTGACGTATTCAACAATAATAATTAATAACATTCGATACGACAGTGATAAAATAAGTACTAATCCTGCTTCTTTTATGATAGAGACGTTTCGAGATGAATATGAAACGACTCTTTTTATATTCCAACATCCACTAGAGAAAACAAGATGACACTATTAATCATTTCGTCTGGTATTTTTATTGGAAAACATCTATACGAATAATAACTGAATGATCATTTACAATGCGAATAGAGACTTCAAATGCCGATATGCAGCTACAAGTTCTTTTTCTAGTACAATTACAAATGATACTTCTTGATAGATCATTGTATGTTTCATGAATCCTATTTTCCTATTCACGATCTGATTTTTATCTCGTCTAACGACCGCTAGGTCATAATCTAAAGTGATAACAAAAAGAAAAGATCTATATGTAAAACCTATGTTCTATTGTTTGCATTTTTAAGCATTTGACTAATTAAACGGTATCGATTTACGTAGATAAGAGATACTACTATCGAAAAATACATTTTTCCTTTTCAAGAGCCCATTTCAAGTTGTTTTTACACTTACCATATTTTTATATAATTCTATGTTTCTTTTCTTAGTAAACAAACAGTATCGACGAATGATTTAAATTCATTAAATACAACACAATTTGATGGTCAAACTCCACTTTCTCAAATAATTGCAAGTGGCTCATCGTCTCACATCGATTCATCATCATTTTTATTTGAAACAATGTCTACAAAACAACGAAAACAACCAAATATTGTTTCATCATCAAAACGTGGTATTCTACCAAAAAGTGCAACGTCGATTATGCGTAGCTGGTTATTTCAACATATTGTAAATTGAAAAAATTTGTTGTTGCTATTTATCTTTAATTAAAATCTTGTTTTGTAAAGGCTCATCCATATCCAAGTGAAGATGAAAAACGGATCATAGCAAATCAGACAAATTTATCATTACTTCAAGTTAATAATTGGTTCATAAATGCTCGTCGTCGAATTTTACAACCAATGCTTGAAACATCAAATCCTGATTTAATAATCACAAAAAAGAAAAAAAGACATGACACAACACTAGATGATGATGCGCATCAACATAAATCTAGTCGACAATTCTCACATACAAATCGTTATTGGCCATCGAATTTAGGTCGAATTGATATGCATAAAAAATAAAACATTCTTTAGATATACATATATAATATTCATTACATCTAGCCTCAGTGTGTGTGTATTTTTTCTGTAAAAAATTTGCAGTTCTTTACTTTGGAATGAAAATCTCATTTATGTTTTCTTTTTGTAATTTATGCTACGCATGACCGTTTTTTTTATTCTAAAATGTGAATTAGATTTTCGAGTTGTAATAGTTTTTATTCAATAAATAGGAAGAAAACAAAATTTCAAATTGTTTGTCCACTATGTAAAAAAGAGAGAATGTTTGCCATATTAAAAGACGAAATATTCACATCAAACTTAGTTATTCAAAGCTACCAATCAAGTGTGTAAATAAAAAGAAATCTGTTAACAAAGTACGAGTCATCCAGGGTCTATCCTTCTATCATTTAATTCACATTTCTCTTTCGTATATTGAATAATTCTTTTCCAGCTACGCTAATTTTTTCACAATAACTTTATTTGTCACTCTTAGAACCTCTTTCTAGATGTATTTTAACTTGAACTATTTCTATTGGTACGTTATTCTTCCATAAGAAAGTGAATTTCTTTCTTTAATAAATAATAATTCGATCGATCCGTCCGATTCAAATCAAGAGTGTCTAGTTTATCTATAGATGGACGATCTCGTGGTACTTTCAGACGACGATAGCGACGAATTAGATAACATTGAACTGATTAATGCCATTGAACAATTCGAACAAAATCAAAAGTAAACACTCAGAAGAAAATATATAGATAATTTTATTGACAATTATTCCTTTGTAGTTCTTCAATTGCATCACAAAATCAAGATGATGAATTAATCGCTATTGAATTAGAAATATCTGAAATCGACTTAGAAATCAATCGACTTCGCCAAAAACGTTTTCAATTAGCTGAACGACAACAAAAATTGAAAGATGCTCTTAAACAAAATCAGCAATCGACATCAAATATTAATTTAGTTGAACAATGGCAACAGACTAGTAATAAAGCTTTCGTATTTTTTCGTATTTTTGTATATCGTTGATTATTTACTAGATTTTCCATGGAGTTCAAATGTAGAGAAAGTTCGTACAGAAATATTTAAAATAAATTCATTTCGACAATGGCAACTTGAAACGATTAATGTTACATTATCTGGTCATGATTGTATTTTAATTATGCCAACAGGTGGTGGTAAATCCCTATGCTATCAATTACCAGCTGTCGTATCTGATGGTACAGAAAAAAAATCATTTTCTTATTTTTAATTGTTAAATCTTCATAGGTATCACAATTGTGGTATCACCATTGATATCTCTTGTTGAAGATCAAGTTTATGCATTACGAAATTTGAATATAGATGCACGTGCTTTAAATACATCGACGCCACGTGATGAACAAACTGAAATTTTGCGTATACTTGATGGAAGAAATAAGACAGAATCAACTTTAAAAATTCTTTATTTAACACCAGGTATATAGAAAATATCAGTATCAATGTGTGAAAAAAAAACTTTTTTGTTAAGAAAAAATTGCTAAAAGTAAAACAATAATGGCAAAATTGCAGAAACTTTATGAAACAAAAAGATTTGCAAGATTAATTGTCGATGAAGTTCATTGTGTTTCACAATTTGGACATGATTTTCGGCCAGGTTTAATCAGACAAAGTTTATTGAATTCAAGCAAAAAAATGTTTTGTCTTTTTGTTAGATTACAAATATTTATCGATATTTAAACGACAGTTTCCAAATGTATCAATATTAGGTTTAACAGCAACAGCCACAACAAAAGTTATGAATGATGTACGACAGATCCTTAAAATTCCACAGAGCATTATATTTCGTGCACCATTTAATAGAAAAAATCTTTTCTATGAAGTCGTACATAAATCAGATGTTGGAAAAGATGCTCTAACGGATCTTGTAAATTGTATTCAACATCGATTTAGTAAACAATCGGGTAAACATTTCAAGTAAATCGTCTTCTGAGATTGCTAGTTTCTGTTCTCTCGTTAGGTATTGTTTATTGTTTATCACAAAAAGATGCAGAAGATGTCTGTTGTGAACTACAAAGAAATTGTAAGTATTATAAAAATCTGTTGTTTATCTGAACAATTAATAACCGTTCGTTATTAGCTAGACGTTTTTTTTTTGGTATGCATGAAGTCTAACATAAAGTTTATATATTTAAGTGTCAGGTAGACGAATTGTGATGGATATGTTAGATTGAAAGTTTGAAGGAAATTTTTGTATGTTTTCTATAGTTAATAAATATGTGCAAAACGTTGAGCTGTATTAGTAAGATTGAAGAGATGAGAAAATAATAATCCTTTGTCATTTAGTTGTAAAGAAGGAATTTATCAGATTAAACAAACCTTTATATCAAGTTTGCATCTATAACCGAGAAAATTAGTTTATATGTGTTTTCTAATATTCCGAATCCTCTAGGTATAAAAGCTGGCTGTTATCATGCGGGACTTTCGGCTCTTTCTCGTACTCAAGTTCATGAGAAATGGCTAAAAAGTCAGGTTCATGTCATTTGTGCAACAATAGCTTTCGGTTTGCATTTTTTTGTTGATTGCTGTATTTATTTATCAATATTATTCCCTAGGAATGGGTATCGATAAACCTGATGTCCGTTTCGTTATTCATCATTCGTTAAGTAAATCGATTGAAAATTTTTATCAAGAAAGTGGACGAGCTGGTCGAGATGATCAAACATCACATTGTATTCTGTTCTTTCGGTAAAACGAATTCAACTATTTGCCCAAATTATATGTATAAATAATATTTTACAATAGATTCGGCGATGTTTTTCGTTTAGCACCAATGGCATTTTCAGATAAATCAGGCAATGGTCTAACCAATCTTTATTCAATGATAGCCTATTGTTTAAACGAATCTGCCTGCCGTCGAAAATTAATTGCTAAATATTTTGATGAAGTATGGCAATCACATGATTGTAATCAGATGTGCGATGTATGTTCTCGACCATCGACGTACATAACAAAAAGAAATTGTCATCAAGAAGCATCAATGATAGTTGATTATTTAGAACGAAATAAAAAGCAACGTTTTACAGCATTAAAACTAGTTGAACAGTTAACAATAAAAACAATGATTAAAATTGATATTCAACGACTTATTTTACAAATGATTACTGAGCAATACTTAAAAGAAGATTTTCATTTTACATCCTATGCAACTATCTGTTATATTGTAACAGGGCCTAGAGCTTCTTATGTGTATGACAATGATTGTGAAGTTATGTTAGATATGATTGAAAGTACAAAGAAACGATCATCGAATCCAACAAAAACTCAGGAGAAACAGATTGTTAAAAAGACGACTTCAATAGTATCTACACATCCCGGTACGATTAATTTTTTATTTAACTTCAAATATTATTTTTCCTAGTTCTGATTAAAAGTTCCGATTATTAAATTGAGAGAATAAATACTATTGCAATTCGTCTTTTAATGGAAACGATGCATGTTTTCTAAGAAATTGATTTCTAAAAAATAAAAAATTATCGATGGTTTTGTTCTTTCGGAACTTTTAATCAGAATTATTAACGCTATTCTGATTTTCATAAATTCTAGAACCACGACCTAAATTACGATGGACTACTAACATAGATTCACGTACAAAATCTGATACTCGTAAGAAACGAACGTTACAATATGATGATGATGATGATGATATGGAACAAACTGAAAATACTTCATTAGCTAAACGACAATCGTCTTTAGTCTCAAATGATCCTGAACCAAAAATAATTACAAGTCAACAATCCGTAATTGATGACGAAGAACTTGACTTTTTGTAAACTAATTTTTTTCTCGTCTCCTATCTTTTTACGACTGAGTGTATTTCTAAAATGTCAGATAAATATGAATTTTAATCTGTCGAAAACAAAATGGCATACATTTTTCAATTTTCAGATGCCTATTGCAATGAATTTTGATTTATTATCAAATAGTAATCATCATCAAGATCGATGTGAACATATGAACGAATGTGAATCACATCTTGAAATAAAACTATCGAAATCACCATTATCCAATGGTACCAATCGATCATCAATAGCATTTATTGTCCCGCCCCTTGTCAAACCGCGTATACGTCAAATAGTAAATCGGTCAACACGCAATATCGATTTAGAACGATTGAGCCGTTGTTCATCAACAAATCAAATAGCTTTACCTAAGGTTGAAAATGAAAAATGGTCAGCATTAGCTTCATCCAATGAACATATATTAGTTGGTGGTGGAAGTTCAAGTACATTACGTCTTTTTGATTTAAACGGAAATCAAATACGACTTATTGATATAAAAACGTTCGGTGCATTTGATTTAGCATGGTCCAGTGTTTTAAATGCTTTTCTTATTGCTGGTTATGATCGTTTACAAGCATATAACACTGAAAAAGATCAATTAATACAAATAGAAAATATAAATTTAATTAATAGAAAAGATAACTATTTTTGGTCGATTGCTTGTCATGGGTAAGGGAATTATTTGAAATTAAAATTCAGACATTTTCTTGATTTCTATCTTCAAGTAATGATGTATTCATTGTTTTATCGGATGGTCTTGAATCTGTATGGCGTTTATCATTACCCAGTTTTAAACGTATTCAAACATTATCTGGTAGTGAAATACGTGAAAGTAATTCCGACGATCGAATCTCATGCATACGTACAAATGGTTATTCAGTTGGCATGACATTACGACAACGTACTACATGTCAATGGCGTGTTGATTTATTTGATTATGCTACCATGACGCGTACACATCGTGGTTTAACAATTGGCTATGGCATTGGTGCATTTAATTTTATTGAACGTTGCATGTTAGCACCTATCGATGATCATCAATGGCTCATTATAGGCGGATATAAAGTAACACCAAATGCATTAACATTAATGGATGATCGAACCGGTGAAGTCAAACAAGTTGAACGACAATGGGATCAACAGGAAGAATTTATATCAAATATATGTACCAGTGAAAACAGTAAACAACAACAGATAATTAGTATGATTATTATAGATAACCTTACTGGGCAACGTCAGATGCATGTTATGCAGCAATAGGAATAAGATTATTATTTTCTTTTTCTTTTTTGTTTTACATATCCTTTTATACCGTTTTGTATCTTCATGAAGGAACTTGATCAATAAAAACTGTTTATAGATTACAAACTATTTACTTACAAAAAAAGAAAATATTTTATGCAAAAAAGAAAGAGGTAGATTCAAAAGAAATCACTAGTACGTATATATATGTGTGTACGCATTCTAACTTCGTATCTATCTTTAATTTATCAATTTAAAAATATAAGTTTGAACAGGATTACAAAAATTAGAGATCTTTAATACCGATAGTCATCCTTGCTAATCAAAGATTATTTCTGTTCTGCTCGTAGCTTCCATTACTATTCAACTTACTATTATTTTTTCGTTGTTCAAGCTTAACTTTTTTAGTTATATTCTAAATGATCGATTCAAACAGGAAGATATCATATTTATATAATTTCCTATTGGACTACGAGATGACTCAGCATACTTATTTATTGCGTTATGCATCGTTGATTATTATGTATACACATTTGTATCAACAAACATAATTTTCATATTATAAATCATGGGTGACAACGAACCACATGAGCAAGGACTAAGTGCTGATCGTCGTAGTGAATATGAAGAAGCATTTATATTATTCGATAAAGATTGCGATGGCTTAATAAGCTCTTCTGAATTGCCATTAGTTCTACGTAGTCTTGGTCAAACAGTAACCAATGCAGAAGTAACCACTGTCCTTCAACAGGCTAATCTTGATCCACGTGGTAAATTTACATCATTAGATTTTGTAAATCTAATGGAACGACGAGCAAATTCTCTGAATCATGAAACATTTGAAAGTGAACAAGATGTACGTGATGCATTTCGTATGGTACTTGATCCGAAAGGAACAGGTACAATAGCTACAGATGATATTGCAAATATTCTAAACGTTTTTGGTGAAAGTGGTGGTTTATCACAACAGCAAATATGGGAACTATTAGGTACAGCCGATAGAGATAATAGTGGGCGAATTAATTATGAAGAATTTGTCAAAGCAATGACTTCTGGTTAAAACTGTTTAAGATTTTGTGAAAAGAAAAGTTTGAAATAAAATTCTATTTGATTTTACTGTCTAAATCGTCTAGAAGTAGTTTAATAACAACTAGAATCATTCAATATTCAATCTATTGAAATAATAAAAAAATTTAATCAGATATTTATTAGGTTTTCAACTGAATTTTTGTTGTTTTCATATTGAAAAGCTATTTAAATCATATACAAAAAGTCGAACTATTATCTTCGATTTGTTTTAAAAAGATTCAATTTCAATATACTTTTCTTCATCAAAAGAATTCATTGTTGTGAACTATTTGTATTTCACTGTTGATCACGACCAATATCTTCATTCCAAATTGAATGATGTTCCTTAATATAATTGTCAAGTAGTTCGCGACATTCTTTCGAATCCAGTATATCAATATGTACATTATGTGTTTTAAGTAGGGTTTCATCGCCATGAAATGTTTTATTTTCACCAATTACTACTCGAGGAATGCCATAAAGACGAATAGCACCTGAACACATAGCACATGGAGATAACGTTGTATAAAGTATACATTCTTTATAAAATGCTGCTGTTTGTCGGCCAGCTGATTCAAGACAATCCATTTCCGCGTGTAGAATAACTGAACCACGTTGAATACGACGATTATGTCCACGTGCAATCACTTGATTATTGCGAACAAGTACACATCCAATCGGTATTCCACCTTCGGCAAGACCAGCACGAGCTTCAGCTAGAGCCTCAGAAATAAATGGTGCATGAACCATAGGTGATACATGCGACATTGAAAAGCTTCCTCCATGTGATGTGTTCGAATGGTCAGCAAGTGAACCTGTACGAGAATTTTTGCGTGTGGTAATAATAGATTTGTCTTCAAGAACAGAAGAACTACTGAACAATGCGTTTGCCATTTCAATTATTGATACGTAAAGAAATAAAATAACTATCAAATGAAATATTATCCAAACATCATTTTTTTTTATCTATATAGATAAAAATTACGAAGATATAGTTGCATGACACGCAGACTGCAACAGATAGAATCTTTTTGTCTTTCGTATGCTATAGAATATTTGTGCAACATGGAGTTTTTCGTCGTACTGCACGAACATACTTATTGTCAACACTTGAATAGTAGATAAACATTGAACTCAAAAAGTTTTACTTCTTGAAGTTAAAAAGAAAAATATTTCAATTTTTTTTCTGATCTAAATTTCTTTGGATGATGTCAACCAGTTAAATCTAGGTAATGCGGAATAAAATCAAAATGACCACCAGTAGAACACATGGTTCATTACATTTCTGTTATTTTGTACAATTTGAACAAATGAATGATGATCCATAGCATTGATTAGAGTATCTTTATAAGAACACGAAGTCGTTCTGTCGCTAGACTAATATATCGCAATTGGACTATTGCCAAATATCTAGAAAAATACTGTAACTCAAGATAAGTTTTACTCATCACTCTGCATGCACAAATTTGATTGCATTTCGTTTCAATTCAAATTTTATCGATTGTTTAACTCAGTTAAACATAGTTATCGTATGGTTTTTAAAATTATATTTATTGATTTTTCTATGAAAATGCATTTTATTTTAAAACTTATATTTTAAATGCAAAAAAAAAGAAAGTAATGGAAAATGAATAAAGGAAAACAGTTTTTTATTATTTACTTTATTCGATTGTTGCCACGAGAGTGTGGCATGCAGCAAGCGAGAAAGAAAGTGTGTGTGTTTGTCTACGAGAGTGTTGCAATCAAAATGGTATGTGTCATTCATTATTTTGAGACTTTTAAGTACGTACATACAATTCTAACATGAATGGTAAGATCGTAACGATTGAATAGAGAATGCTAAAAAAGAACTAGGACATCTGTATGTATGTATTGTTATAATAGAAGGAGCAGCTCTTCGAGTGTTGTCATTTCTTAGCGATTCAAATCAACAGCATGTAGACTCTTTACTTAATGAGAAACCAAAAGTAACTGTAATTGGAGAAGAACACGAGCCCGATGAATTCGTATGTATTTTAATTTTGATAATATCTTTCAATGTTTTTTCTTCTTATCAATCGAATTCAAGATTGAAGAAAAACCTACCATACCTGCTATCGATGATGAAACAGAGCTTTCTCCAGAAATCATCAAGGTTACACAGGAAAAAAAAGACACGTGCTTTTCAGAGTTTAATTCAAAAAATAAATAAATAAAATATTTTAGGAATTTTTTAAAGCAACTCATGAAGGTTCAATTGACAGGCTGGAAGCACTCTTCGATACAATATCCGGTGCTAGTCCAAATATGACATGTGTAAGTAATTAAAATATAATATTAAATTCAATTTTATGCATAAATTCTATTCTAGTTTACTGAATCTCTTCTTATGGCTGCTATTCGTGCTCAACGATATAAAGTCGCTGAATATCTCATTGATCAATTAGGAGTGAACGTTAATCATACATGTGATCAATTTGAATTTCGTATCAATTCGCAAATTCCCATTCGTGAGCAAACAGTATCTTGTCGTGATTTAGCATATACTAGAGGTATGATGGATCTTGTTGATTTAATTGATATAACTAGTGATGACGTAAAACCAAGTGTAAAACGATATTTACAACGACGTTTAAAAGTACGTCTCGATCAAATTCATCAAGCTTATTTAAAACGCATGAAAGAACGTAGTCGTCGTTTAACAATTCAAATACAAGAAAGAAATAAACAAATTGTAGAAGAGGATGACCTAGAAAAAGACAATGAAGAACCATCAAGTGCAAATGTCATTGACAATGATAATAATAATAATAATATTAATAATGACAATAGTGCATTTCAACAATCACTTCTACTGCAGCCAATTGTTCCTCGTCAATATAAATCACACATTGAAGCAACCATTCGAAGTATTGAATCAAAAACTGACAAATCCATTGATGAAACAGGAAAAAAATTATTTCGGTTTTCTGGTTATAGTCTTCGTTATCGTCTAGTCGAAACAGGAAATACGAATCAACAAAAACAAGAACGATCTCGACCAAAGACAGCAATAGTGTCCTTTCCATTTGTTCCCACAACTTCTACACGACCAATACTTCAATCAGCAATGCCACCATCGAGACCAATGACAACAGCAACAACACCTAATGTTAATCGCCGTTCAGCTAGTGAAGTAAGCGCACGAATACCAATACGAGAAACACGAACATCCATATGTCGATCAGCTCGACGTACAGCTACGCCACGTACTTGTACAACAATAAATTCTGAAAGTAAACCTGAAGTAATATCTTCGGCAGCAGCAGCAGCAACGACGACAGCAGCAACAACAGTATCAACAGCTGCGATTAATATTACTCAACGACTATTACCAAAACGAATCCGTCAATTCGACACAAACTATGCTTACGTTCCTCAACTACAGCATTCTGCTGTATATAATGATCCGCGTCGTTTTCTACCCGTAACATTGAAAACCACTGCCACCGGTTTACTATCTGGCAGCCGGCTAATTCGAGAGTAAAAATGTTTTTCTTCGAAAAAAATAATAAAGATGCCCTTTTCAAATGAAATCTAATCACAAAAGAGCAATCAAATATTTCAAATACAAATTCTGAAATTCGAGTTTCTGGAGCACGTTTCATAATGTTCTTTTTTTCTTTTGAAGAAAAAGGACGCATACATCTGCGAAGAACAACATAATTTATTTACTCGAGAAGAATGCTTATAAATGTCCTATTTATACACTACATAGAAATTGTTGTTAAAAACAGAGTCATAAAACATTTTGATATTTGCGTGTTTTTTTTGCAAAAAAAAGGAACACATCAAATTTATCGAAGATTTCATTGATCAATTGGCTGCTTTAGAAAAGTATTACAAAGTCAAATTTAAACTTGACCATTTTTCTAACTCATAATTCATTTTACACGGCACGGCTGTGCTGCTATCTCGAATTGATTCGTATTATAGAAATATAAAAATTAAATTCCTATTAATTATCATTTGCCAATTGTTGAATAGTATCACATTTTTTACTTGTAATTCTAGAATTTAAGTTGTAAATATAAAACAAAGCCTATGAAAATGTTCTTGCTATAACTATTATCATCTTAAAATTTAGATTTCTTAATTCGATAGTCATGTTTCTACCAGCACAATTTTCATGAGACTTTTCGTATTTCTTGTCAATTAATGACACCGATTGATTTAATGCAAGAATAATAATAAGAAAATGAGCGCAAAAAATTCTAATCCAATACACTTCGTATGTTATTTCAAGACAAGGTCAACATCAGCTTTCTGTTTTGTCAGTTCGAACTGTATGAAAATTGATGAAATACGACAGAGCTCTTTCTTTATAATACGAGCTATCGAACATAACTTTCTTAGGTTATTTTCAGCAAATTAGATAAGAGTAATAAATCAGAAAATCGATTTAGAATCTTTGAGATATTGTTCATAAACAATTTGATTATTATTTTTCCCCCAATGTTTAGCTGCAAAGCAAACAAGTTTGTCTCGAAACTCTGTATACATATAACAGGAGAATCTTTAGCGTAGTTTATGAATATGAGTAAAATTTAATCGATTCATTTCGACACAAATTAAATATTTTTGAATTAAAATAGTTTGTTTCTTTGAATAATGTAACAAATAGAATGATCGACACAGATTACATAGGTCACATGAGATGCGAATTTCTTTTTTTCTCAGGAAATTCAAACGAAATAGCTACAAGAAAAAATTTACTTAAATTGAATTTCAAGCTTCGAGCAATAAGTATTGATTTTTGAATGCACCACAAAATGTATGTACTCAGTTTTGAGTTCTAGTTGCACTGAAGAGCGATATTTTTTTCTCAAAAAAAAGTATTTAAAATAAAATATATTTCCTTTTAGCAAGTCCAAGCTCAAAGTCACGCTATTGAAATTGCAGATAAAGCATCGCAACAATACAAATATATGAATTAGATGTTAACATACTTTTGCATGAATTCACATAAACTTGAGTGATGTACGAATGTAGATTCAATATGAACGAATTTGTCAGATAGAAATACAATCGAGTATAACAAAACATTGTTCCTATCGATGAACTATATTTAAAATTATAAAATGTTTCTAAGAAATAAAAATGACAACAAAACAACTCTGTTCGAGAAAACAAATATTATTATCCAAACGATTGAGACATGGCTGTTTTTGTTTAGCGAACTCTTTACGATCTGAAATGCACAAAGATATCGCTTTTGAATCAGACGATTGCACTTATTGATGACAAAGCGTAAGTATTTATTAGTGTTAGACGAATTTTTTTCAGCAATTTCAATAACCAGAGTTCGTATAAAAAAATCATGGGGATCTGCCTGATTTTTTGATACTACTTGTTCGATTACTCTCGGATGTGGTTCTTCGAATAAGAAGTTCAGTGGAGTATTTCCATCTGTATTACTTTGAAATATTATCAGCCCATTCAAGTCATATATGTATGCATTGCAATATTCTTCAAATTTACTTAAAACGAGTAGCATTACAAGTGAGAGACATTACACTGAAGAAAACATGAATTGAATGCATAGCCCCGACGGAGTATTATTCAGAGAAGGTCTATTATTAAAAGCGTAGGTCGAATTAATCCTATAAGCTTAACACATCATTCGTAATGTTTATTGAAGTTACTGGACTGTTTATTCCATCTAATATTTCTTGGCTTCACTTTTCTGTTGTTTTTAGTTTTATGGGATTCGTCCAGCTTCAGTGATGAATAAGATGTCAATATTTCGGCTAAATGCATATGCGAACTAATTTTATTGCAAACATTACTTTTCAAATGGAAGCAAAATGTCAATACTTTATTTTTTTTTGTCCTTGCAACTCCTTTTTCCGCTCTAATCATCGTGTAATTTGTGTTCTTTTTTTTGCGTGAGTAATATGTCAACAGAGACTAGTTATGCCCAACTTTCACATGTGTCAAGAATGAAAAAAAAGGGTAATATGCAAGTGGGACCAATAAAAACGAATCGGATTAAGTTGTTTGTGAATGTAATATCGTTATCGGACTGATTCACAATCTTTTCAATATATAATCATTAAAAAATATAGTTTATAAACGAGTATATATTCGAGAGCTAAACACATTAAATCACAAGCAGCAATGCAAGGCCGTATTTTCGTGTTCCTGTTCCTTTCAATAGCCTTCACCGAAGGGTTTTTGTTCAGCTGTAAGTTTGCTCTTTGAAACTTATACGTACTCTAAAATTGTCTATCTTTTATAGCAAAACCAAAATGTCAAATTAAGACATATAAGGCCGGCAAATATATTACTGGCGATAAATTATTAGTTCATGAAGATTTTATTGATCGTGTTAAACCGTTAGAAACTGTTGCAAAAGATTGCAAAGTAATTTTATATATTAAAGGATCTTATTACCAATTGCCAGATCCAGCAAAACAAGTCTTAGTTTCTGAAGCTGATATTGCCATTGGTCATGGCTTTCAATTTGAATTGCGAGATGAAAAAAATGCACTTTTATGCAATAAAATATGTCTTTCAAATAGTATGTTTGTGTTTGAAATTGAAATTATTTCACTGTCTCTCATTTTTAGATCCAATGAGTATACCCGCAGCGCAATGTTTCTTGCAAGGTGCAATTAATCGTGGTCTTACATGGTCACGAAATAATGCAAATGTTTTGAGTGATGGTACTTACGCTGCAAATACAGCGGGATACCAAGCCTTGAAAATTGACATTCAAACAAGATGTAAAGATGAAAAATTGAAGCGAGAACTCATGCGAGCACTCCGTAAAATGTACCAAGACAACGATGAAGAAGAACAAGCTGAAACTGAAGTAGAGAAAAAGAAATAGATGCTACGTTCATCGAAACTAGATTCTACTTAAATCTCTTTTATTTCTTCTTTCATTAATCGTATTATATTTAAGAGAATAAAGTTTAACATAATACCATTCATAAATCTTACTTTAATTTTCATTTGATGTTAATTTATTAATGCAACTATCTAGATGTATCTTAGATAAGAGTTCTCATGTAATCGACTGAAAGAATACTTGCATCGTTATAAGAGTTTTGCATTAGTCAACTTACACGAGAACAACAAAATATAAACTTTCTTATGATCGCTAACGAGTAGTCCATTATATTTTGAGGTCAAAGAAATTGTTTCCTGAAATGAAGCTATTTTTAAAACTATGCAGAATATTGGTAGTCACCTACGCACACATCAATAGAGACGTTAAGGGTTTTCAAGGCATTTCTGTCGTAATCGAGTAGATTTTCAAAAAAAAAGACACAGATGATGCTTTGTATTTCAGATTAGCAGTTTTTCAAAAAGAAAAATAATCTTATTAATGATTTAAAAGATAAAGGCAGTACTGATATTGATCATTCTACTAACTCCAACGCGTATTGCTGTTTCATATTTCCTCCGTCAACACAATATATACAATATCGTCAAGCAGCAAAAATTTACCTTCCTCACAGAGAAAAAATTAATATAGGAATTTGTTTTTAACTCATGCATATCTACTGAATTAACATAGTTGAATATCGGAATAATAGTATATTGAAACAAGCAAAAAAAATAGAGTTGATTTTGTCAGTGAAAAACCAAAAGTAATAAAAATAGCACCGTGGTTTAATATTTGATGATTGAGTATTCCGAGAAAATTTCCTCATTTAAAGCATTTACTTGACTTGTCAACTTATTCAAATGTCAATGGACGCAAAAAAATAAAACTTGTACCATAAGCGAACGTGGATAATTGTAATGTTTTTGAAAAACACCATCGGTAAAAACATGTTTGGCGTGATATTTGATTTATTTCTTTACAACCTTTATTAAAAGAGCATCTTTCTATCGAAGAAAATACGTCGTATATTTTTTGCTAGTGCTATTTTTATGTTTGCTACGAATACTTGGCAAAATTCAATGCAAGGTTTGACCAAATAAGAACTGAGACATTTTCTAAGCTGATAACTTCCACAATTGGATATTTAAAACTATTTCCTTCAGGAATCAACGAATAAAAAACTCTTAAACTTGAAATATACATTCATCCGTTGAAACATTTTTTTACTTCTGATAGTTTGATAGGAGTCATTTTGCATGAGCATGCCAAATAGATGCTTGGTAATAACAAGAATATTCTTACCAATCTGTTTCTCAATTAGAAATTATTGTAGAATAGCATATTCACGACGTATGATTTTGTTAAATTCTTATCAGTATCAATGGTAAAGCTTTTTACAGGTGTATCTGAAAAAAATATTTTTGACGAGTGTCGATTTGATCAACGACCGTGATCTCGAAAGATCAAATGTAATGCTTCAGGCTCATAACATCAAAGTTGTGGTTGACCATCGATCGCGGCTCGTCTCTTTCTCTTTCCGAAATATTCTATTTGAATTGTTAAAACATGGAGATTGTGCAATTTTTTTCTTTTGTTCTGCCTATGATGACAGTCAAAGGTGGCATTGTGTAATAATAAATAACCTATATTGAGATTGTTTTATAGTCCTGTTTATCACACATAAATTGACGACGCATAAGTGCAGCACATTTTATTCTAGTGTTTAGATGTTATATGAATTGTAGTCATAGTATTGATTCGAGAGTATAACTATTTATGTGTGTTTAAGATCTTCAAACTAAAGCGGTGCGTGAAAATTTAGCTGTTGTTAAGCTAATACAACTGTCGTAGCGAATATCTTAGGCATTGCTATTGAAACATTCAATAGACTATATACTAACGGATCGTGAAGCGATAGAATAATAGCCATGTTGACTGATGAAGAATGATATAAACAGATATTAATAGTGCTAGAACAGAGATGAGTCGCACAATTATTCTCTGATAAGAGCACAGAAGAAATAAGTAGACCAGAACATGACGTAGTATTGCAAGATATTATTGGAATTGCGGCGTTACAGCTGTGAGATACTATTGGGAAAAGGTCAAGATAATCGTGAAATGCAGACTAATCATGGAACTCCTATCGGTTGTGTCACTTTGAGCTCATTCTAAAATTAGGATCTACTATGGCTACTGAAAAAAAGACGACTGAACTATTTAACTTATTCAAATTAAACAGAAAATCCGTTGCTTGAAAGAATATACAAATTAAAATGCATAACAAAGGATTAAAAACTTGAAAATTGATAGAAGAATGACAATAACATTTTGAAACTTAAGAAAACATCACCTTGTTTGCGTAATCAATCAACTAGTCAGTGCACTGAAGTTGAGAATATAAATCTTCACGGAAACTTCTTTCTGTGCTAGTCCGATTGCATTCAGGCTGCGCTCAATTGAAGAATTCATCGATAAGCTAATGAACGACTCAACTAGCGTCCATGATTAGCTGTCACTGCTTGTGAACACCATTTCTAAAGTAAAAGTCGATGCAGTTCCTTACCTTTCATATTATATACAGGTTAACAAATATATGCGTCTACTGATAAAAGTGTCTTCTGATTTATCTCTTCCAATACTACTGTATATATGAAGTTTACACAGTTTCCAAAGATTTGATTGCTATCAAATGACTTCATCTCACAATAAACAAAAAAAACTAGAAAGTTTATAATAATTTAAAATATATTCTTCTGTGGTTTCAACTACTTTTTATCGGTAAATCTTACGATAACGTGATGGTAGATTATAGGTACTGTCACACAGCGCTCATAGCAATACAGATGAAATGAAAATTTACTTATGAAGCCAATTGAAATCGAAAAAGTCGATATACTGATTAAAAGAGTACACCGGTCAATCTTGAATAGCTTTTTGTTGGAATAGATATCTGGTGTATGCATACACATTTGTCAAAATTAGTGCTGTAAGGCATCGATTACTGACTTCCTCAAATGATATTTCTAAAGATCGAATTGAGAAATTCGAAAAACAATATCTTTCTTATATAGTGACAAACTCGCACGGTAATTAATATAAGATAACATCTGTTATCTACCCACTGATCAATCGGGGCCTGTATCTATTTGATATTTTTATCATATGCAAATAGAAGTTCTCCAACCGACACCTGCATCGTGGGAGATCGGGGTGTGAACAGTGAGAAAAGTCACATCCACGTCTTCTGCTTTTCTATATATGTAAATCTATTGTTTTTGAAGCTATTTGCCTCCTTCGCATAGAATTTTTGGTGCACACGTATCAATGTGCAAACATCGCACAATAGTGAAAAAAAAGCATCGTTTCATTTTTGTCTCTTTCTTATCAGTTTCAAATAGATTATTCGCCTCTTTTGTTTTTTATATCTTTTCTCTACATTCAACCACCGAAGATAGTCACGATGGATTCTTCGCCAGCACCAAAAACTAAGCCTCTAGTAGTAATAACAGGCGCATCATCGGGTATTGGTGAAGCTTGTGCTCGATCTTTTTCTGCAGCTGGACATCCGCTGTTACTTGTTGCTCGTCGTCTTGATCGATTACAAGCTTTGAATCTTCCCGAGAATGTTATTTGTGCACAAGTTGACGTTACAGATAGAGCCAAACTTAAAGAAACAATTGAACAAGCTGTGGAAAAATATGGGCCTGTTGATTGCTTAGTAAATAATGCTGGCGTTATGCTTTTGGGTAAAGTACAAACACAAGAACCAGAAGAATGGCAACGCATGTTTGATGTCAACTTGATGGGTGTTTTGAACGGTACTCACGTTGTTTTACCGTCTATGAGTAAATAAAACTATGCTCCGATATTTGCCATTGCTTTTTCTTCTGCATAATCTCTTGACTTTTAGTTGAACGTCGTGGTGGTACAATTATTAATATTAGCTCGATTGCTGGACGAAAAACATTACCTGATCATGCTGTTTACTGTTCAACAAAATTTGCCGTACACGCATTTACAGAACAAATTCGTGAAGAAGTTGCACAATATGATGTACGCTTGGTTAATATTGCGCCAGGTGTGGTTGAAACAGAATTATTAAGTCATTCAACAGATAAAAAAATCGTTGATGATTACAAAGCATGGAAAAGTAATATGGGCCAACCGATGGAAAGTGAAGATATAGCTCGTTGCATTATGTTTGCTTATGAGCAACCACAACGCATGTGTGTGCGAGAAATTCTTGTTTGTCCAACACGCCAAGACAAATGAAAAGCAAAGAAAATTTTAGTTTAGAGAAATATAAATTGAGGTTAATTAATTTTTTTTCAATCATTTTTTTCAATTATTCGAATTAAATTTATTGGAAAGAAAAATTTTGTGTGAAATAAATGAAAATTTAATATAGAGGGTTCCAACTTCGGCTGGGATTGCTTTATGCCAAAAACAAAAAAACAACTGAAAAATCGTTTAACATCTTGCCGACATTTACGTGGCACAATTATATATAGGTAGAAAGGTGCACAACTATTAATAATAATCAGAAATGATGTTGAAAAATATGCAATAAATGATTCAATATGAATTCTATCAATGCTTTTTTGGTAAGTCTGACGTAGCCGCCGAATACGTTATGTTGATTGAATAAAGAAGATTCGTGCAGACGTAAAGAAACACTTCACAGATAAGTAATAATATTAATTGTTGATCTCGTTGAAAATACGTCGGATTATTTAGCTTGTCGTTAGTTGGATTGTTTGAATTATTGCCAACAGCTAAGTTTAGTGGAGTGATTCGTGCTCGCATCTATAAACAAAAATCACTAAATATACATATTAAATATCAGATGTAAGCTTTATTCGTCGTACTTTTCTCAAATTTTTATATGCAATACAACCAAATATCGCCATTACTGCTGGTGGTGACCAACCAGATATAATAATTGAATATGCATTTAAAAATTTCGCATAAATACCTGTTTGTGGTACACAACGGCCGAATTCAGTTCAAAAGTAAGCAGCCAAATGAATAGGTATTAATGGCCAAACACCTGTTATAAATAAAATCGTTCGATAAGCATAGTAAACATTGCTAAATGCTCGTACATCATGCATGACGACTGCACAAAAGCTGCCGTTTTATGCCAACGATAGAGTATATAACACGACATACTTATGAACGCTCACATTGATTTATACAAAACAGTATTCATTTTTGTTTTGTTTGACATCGAGAACATAGATAATATGCGTTTATAAATAAAACGCAACAATTAGAATTCATAAAATGCATGCTATTCTGTACTTATTCACGTAAGTTTAATAAAGATTAAGTGAAAAGATAGAATCACAATTACTGTGAAATGCATGCGAGTGATTGTTTTTAAGAATTAAGATTAAAAAGTAAAGAAAAATCATGAAATTAAGAATTAATCATCAATATATCGTTATAAAGAAAATAAAGGATAACATAATTAGGCCATGAGGAGAATATTTAATTCCCCGATTTTTTCCATGCGTGACCTACATATGTTTTGTAAGTCATATAATTACTTTGCTTTACCTATAAGATCAATTTGCTGTTGATGAAATGCCAAATAGAATATTTTCTGTCTCTCTTCTCAACAAAATTGCAAATGCTTCTATTTATTACGCGTCATTTTAGAAAAATTATTTACTTGATGACTTTCAAAATAACAAGACACTAATTAAGATTCGTTTTGTTTCTACTTATCTGCAACACTAAACACGTAAACTAAGATCGGAAATGTGATGTCAGCCTGTTTGAGAAAATAGCTTGGTGAAAAACATTAGCTATCACTAATGATTTATTAATCAAAGACCTACTTGAGATGACATTTTATGTTTTGAGTCATTGAAGATTACTCGAATGATTACGTTCAATTAGTAAAACAATTGAAGAGAGGTTTAACCCTATGACATTTTAAACAAAAGGTGGCGATGTTTCTCTCTTACTGCTTTTGAGAAAATTGAGAAAGTTGATTATCTAAGTAAAAGCGGTCACGGGAATCCCTAGTTTCATCAACTATTTAGCTACAGTCAATAGTCTATGAGGATGTATAGCATTTACACAGTTTTTTGTCACCTACATCTACGAATAGCTTCAAAGCAAATGCATGCTTTGTTTTGGGAGATATTTAGTTGCTCACGCTAGCAGAGATAATAACTAGTACTATCGTCATAATAAACTAGATCAACTGCTTAGATAGCTGACGTCTAAAAAAAGTACAACCTAATCTGCAGAATATCTGTTCATAAGAGTTAAAATGTAAATTGATAAGCTCAACTGTGATAGTGAGGATCATAAAAATATTTCAGATAGACTTCATAATCCGAACTTCAATAACAGAGACGCCGAGAAAGTACCGATTTCAGAGTTCTATGATTACTCAGTGGTGAGCTATAAAAAAATTTCTGATTCACATAATAAGACTTAAACGCCAAATGACGATTTATCCACGAGTCGCTTCTACCGTCAATTATACTAAAGATGCATGAAATATGTTAATGACACGAAGAGTATCTACAAAAGATCAGAGATAAAGAAAGACTAATTGTTCTTCCTCATGAAAAGAAGATAAAACAACACAGACGGTCAACTCTCACCAATAGCTTTTAATTGGAGTAAAAATGAGTATGCGATGACGCGAAATTTCGATTTACTAACACAGCGAGATATTGAAATCTATTTATATCTATACCTATTGGCTCTTTATTACGGTTACACTTTGTTGCGATGACTTCGATGTCACATTTTATTCTTATCGACTTTTAGCAAATTATAACAAAAATAGCAACGAAAATCTTTGAAAACGTTTTACAAGATACGTATTTTACTCTGGTCGATTTTCCTATATACTATTTCAGGTGTCAAACAGTTGAAATTGATGAATTTCCACACTGAGCCTTCTTCATAGATTTGGGATTGTGCTAGTGAGAAAGTTATTTTGAGATATAAAACTCGAACAGCTCACAGTGGCGCAAGACGACATTCGATTTAAAGCGAGATAAATACCTACTAGAAATACTCGATCACTCTCGCCCTTCAGCTTTGAAAATAATTTCTTGACTTATAAAAACAATTCATGTTTAGACGGTTGAATGAAAATAAAAACTGAGCATTATGAAATAATTCATAAAAAAAATTGATGGATTAATGCAATTAACAATGAAAAACTGGCAAAGCAAATCTTCTTTGATGATTTGAAGTAGTCTCATGCCTTTTATAAGTTGTATAGCGTGAGAAAATTATTTATCGTTTGACTAGAAATTGCTTCGAAATTCATATCTATGCGATAGATATAAATTATGAAGAAAGCATATTAACCCCTGAGATATTTACTTACATGCTATCTTACTCGTTAGATCAACATACCTGATACTTTACATAGTAAAGTCTTACAGCTGCATGTGCAACGAGCTGTTTCATTTAGTCAAGTGTTTCTTGAATCCATTGAAGATGTTGCTTCACCTTTTCTTGAGAAAAAAGTCTATGTGTAAGAATAGATTTAGTTTTACATTGAGACTGATTAAAAACTATAAATCTCATCGCTGTTTTCCTGTTTCTATACCTATCTGCGCTGATATTTATAAAAATCAATTACGTGACAAAGACATTCATGTCTAACAGCAATATAATAAGTATTTTGGCAATAATCAAAAATGACTGTGCTGATAATGATTCTTTTTTATTCATTTCTACGAGACGAAATATATAAAAACACAAGCTTCGACTCGAAATCGCGCATTTAATGCAGCTCGAAGTAGAACAAAATCGATATTGATTCTTGAATTTTCAAATGATGGCAGACAGTTTATTAAGTTAAATAGAAAATATTTGAATATTTTGCATTGAAATCATCCGATGTATTAGAGTCTAAGTTATGTTTTTTGAAATTTATCATATTCAAAACGAGAATATAAAAACTGTAGGTAGAAATCCAGCACAATAGAGTCTTTGTAACAAGATCACATTCATACGAGTATACTCAATTGTTTTGCTTTTCCATAAATTAACCGAGCGTGACGATACGCTGTTGTGCTCCGATTCATTTGTACCAAGAATTATTTTTGAAAGAAACATGAAATGCTATTATGAGGATAAAGCGTAGCTACTTAAAAATGTCACGAGGTATTAAATAAGCAAAGATGCTTTGAATGTTTAGTTACAAATATCATCACGTATGTTGCATTAAAATAATGATAGTATGCATGAAAAACACTGATTGCATAAAAGTTATACAAAGAATTAACTTGGAATGGGTGTACATGTTATAAAGCTAATCGAACTTACACATCACCTTGCGTATCGAAAGTTCAATCGCTATTTACTTTCTGCAAAATTATTAACATGTCAATGCCTCTGCATACAGAAGTCTCCTTACTTGATATTCAGTGAAAATGGTATTAATTAAATTTCCTATTCATATGTACCATTTCCTTAAAAATGCATTATCCAGGAGTAAAACGTACATGCACGTATCTAATCATATCTCAAAATGTGTTGTGCGTCTTAGAAATGGCTCCGAATTTTTCGAATTATTATATTTTATTGCAATTGTATAACTGATGTATTATTGTGATAATTGCGATCTGATACAATGAGAAATGCAGATTTCTCATTCAATTGGCAGTCCTATTATTTCCTTTTCCAAAATCAAAACTTTACATCAAAGGACAACTATTCTGAGGTCTAGAGTTTCTAAAGTGTAACCTGTTGAATAATTTTCGTTTTGGTGGCCAAGCCACTTTCAAAAAGTATAATTAAGAATGAATTAGGAATGTAGGATACTGACAAACTTTTCTAACAACAAAGTCATACAAAAATAGTAAGAGCGTTGTCCTCCAAATACATTTAACAATTTTTAGTAAATGTAGAATAGGGTCTTTATGCTAATGCATATTTCTTTGTGGAGTCTGAAAGCCATTACAAATGCATATTGAATACATTAGCATGTAGTGCATGAAAATGGCTTAATCGAATACAGAAATTATAATATAGTTTCTCAAAGAATCTGACATTGCAAAATCATCAAATATTTAACGTTAACAAGAAAAAGAGCCTCATTTAAGTGTGGACACCGAAATTAAATGAAGAAAATGATTTTTCTTTGTGACGCATTGCCAAGTATCACGGAGAAGTCACACATTTTCATGTATTCAATTAATTTGATTACTTCAAACTCGCCACATTGTTAAGATTCTAAGAGACTTCTTTGAATCAGCTATGAATTAATTATACGATGTACTAACATTGAGAAGTCTGCTAAAAATAAGTCTTTGCATGAAAAAAATATGAGTTTTATTTTGCTGTTCGACAAAATTAACACCAATAATAATATATAGTACCGACCAATTATTTATCTGACATTTATCAATGAAATGTTTATTGCTTAGGACATATGTGCAAAAAGTAGCTGCTTCTACTTTGTCTTCAAACTTCTGATTAACCAGATGATCTGAATTTATTAGATTGTATTATTGACAGAAACGAAATAAATCAACTCATTGGATCGGAAATAATTATGTTCGACATGTTGATCTTGATATGTGTAGTTATGAAGTATTCATATTAATAAAAGAAATATATCAAGAGCGAATTGAGAGAGACAGACGCATAGGTGACCGTACGTAATTCAAAAAACAGAATTTTGGCGTTTTTTCAACAGCAACATAAGTTGATACCATTTCTGATGAACTTTCAAATAAATTTTGCGATCATGAACAATCATTGGTGCCATGCAATTACTGAACATTGTAGAAATACGCTAGCATGCAGTTTGAACTTATTTTTCTCTATAAACAATTACATTGCTTTCTATCATATTGACCTCATCGTTGATATAGTTACACTATTGTTTACGTTTAAGATACAACTTCTACTAGCCATATGAATATGTTGCCACGGCTCAAGTAAGTATCCCAGACAACTAACTATCGGAAGATACTTTGTATTCTTTCTCTCATTCATATCACTGAATGACTTCTGAAAACTGTCCTATGAACGATTCAATGTCTCGCATCTGTGCGTATGAGTGTGTTTTATTTCTTTTTACGGCTGAAATTACCAGCGACGTTAACAACAACGAAGACATTTCTGTACGAGGAAAAAAGTAGAAAAGAAATTAGTCGATTCACAAAAATGAGTAGACACAAAAAAGAAATACCCTTTGTCGTTTATTCTTTTATCAAAAATTTCACACGAGCAGTACGATAAATTTCATTCTTACTAATGGCACAACCATGGAACGGTAAATATTATTCCACTCATAGCATTTTGTTTTTTTAATATTCTATTAAATAATTTTAGCTGAATTATTCGGTTGTCTGGAGGATATTCCAACATGTTTACTTGGTTGGTGTTGTCCATGTTATTTATTTGGTAGTAATGCTGAACAAATTGATGGGTCAAATAAATTTGGCATGTGTATTGGATACGCCTGCCTGTCCGGTTGTTATCTCTGTTGTTTACTTCATAAGCCACAACGAGAAAAACTTCGTGCAGACTATAGTCTTGTTGAGAAGCCAAGCGATTTTCTAGCTACATGTTGCTGTAGTGGCTGTGCTAATTGCCAAGAAGCAAGAGAAATGCAATTTCGAGGTTTACAATTATGAATTATTTTCAATACATACATATATATATATATATATATTGTATTATGTTTTTAGCTGTGCAATCGGGTATGCCTATTCCAGTAGAATCTCAGCCAAATTAAATTAGCAACAGCATTAAACTCATAATAACTGTCAGTGTTGTATTTTTCTCTATTCATCTCTTTTTCTTATATTCTTGCATGAAAAATAAATTGAGTACCAACGTAAAGAACTCATTGAGAGAAGATGATAATATTTAATAAAAATAAGATATAGTTTACTTGAGAATATATGGCGCAAAAAAAGAAAAATTCATGCGAATACATGAAACAGAAAAAAAGCGAAGTGTATATTTTCCGTAAACAATTATATTCAAAGGGCATCAAGCACCATCACATCATTTTTCATGTAGTGGTTTTTACAAATAAACTTAAACAAGTTCTATATTGCTTTTGAGTGACCTGTTTTTTTATTTTTATAAGTTCTTTGCTAAGCTTCCATCTCATTTGTTAACAGGAATCTGATAGAAACAATTGTTCTATAGCATGTCAACGTGCAGTATGGAAACATTATTGGAACAGACTAGAAAAGAATCTCTCACAAATGATGAAAAATTTCAAATAGACTAGAAAAATTAGTAAATGGGATTTTAAGAAAAAGCATATTTACTATCGAAAATATGCGAGGTGAATTACGAAATTTTCGGTTCAAAGAAAAGTAATTATTTGTCTGTTGACAAAGAAAATATTCCTATGTATCAAATTCGTTATGGAATTTCTCATGCCAATTAAGTTGACAGTAGTTAGTAATCAACGTCGACTGAAAAAAATGTCGCGTTCTGCCTGAATTTTTGTAGAGATGTGCATTTTGCTTTTTTTAAATAATATCTAAATAAAATGATGTCAATTATATTCAATGATTTTGGTTGCTATTTCATTAGTTGGAAGAAGACTTATTGGACTAGTACAACGTCTCAAGGGTTCTTTTCTCTATGATTGATTGATGGAAGTGTTAATGCTAGAAAAAGCAGCATTTTATCGTCCATTTTTGAGCGCACTTCTTCAAAATAAAAATAAAATGATCATCGTAAATAGAAAAATGGCGGGAATGCATTTAGCATTTTAAAATGATTAAAAGCAACTCGTCAGTTTCAATATTCTTTTTTTATTTGTGGTTTTTTTGTCTCGTTAACATTTTACAAGACACGTTGAGAGAGCCTAATGAATATCGTTGATTAATATATTGAATATCCTAGAGTAATGCATCACACTGCTGATGTGCTGATTAGCCAAGGTTAACACACAAAAAAGAAAAAAAGAAACACTCTAGATGCTATCACACATAGACTAAGTCTAGTGCTTGGCAAATGAATTCAACTGACGAGTTTGAAACGTTCGTCGAACATTTTGGCTGCTTGATTTTCTTCTTCTAGATACTATGAACTAGAACCTAACTATGATTAGTCGTTAGTAAAATCTCTATAAACCATATTTTTTCTGTTAATATTAGTATGTTATTCATTATTTCAGTCTAATAACATATAGAAAAACGAATAAAATATTCAAATAAGAAGCAAAGCGAAGTTAAAATAGTACAATGTTCACAAGCGAGTTACACCCTCATTTGCCGCAGCCTCAGCACTATTCTCTTGTGTTTCATCAGAAGGCCTTAATTGATTATTAAATAAATCGCGAATATGTGGTCGTGACAAATGCTCTTCGGGTTTAGTTGTTGTTGCAAATTCACCCATATATTCAGGTGATTTGTTATATGCACCGCTGAAATTGGCAGACGTCAAAGGGCCGGGATGAAGGCTAGGATCGTTTCTATTTGAAAATGTTTGAGCATTATTTGCAGAATCACCTGCAGGTATTGATAGTGCTGCTTGTTCACCATCGGGTATCGATGAACGTCGCCAAGGAAAACTATGTTCAGCAGCTGTAACTCCACCCATTGTTTTAACATCTTCTATTGAAAACAAAACTAAACAAATTCCTTGATTTTTTGAGAAATATTACCTTCATTTTCAATAACTATTGAAACAGGAGGAATCACTGGATGAGTATCATTGGTTGTAGCTGGAAAAAAAAACATTTACACTTGTTTAATAATATATTAATAAACATACGTAATGATTTAATTGGCTGATCTGATGATAGTGGTGGACTTCTGCTTCTTGGTTTTGATGATTGTTGTTGTTGTTTATGAGAATTTGTGAATGTTGGTGGAACTTTTAAATTCTGTTTTTTCGTAATTGCAGACATTAATGAATGTTTAGTTGCCTGTGAATCATTAAAAGGCTGAGTTGATGATGCAGATTTTGAGCCTGATGAGCGAGTAGCACCACTTCCAGTTTTACCAGTTTTACGTCCATGCGTTTGCTCTTTATCATGTCTTGATGGTATGAATATATGATTGCGATGATGATAAGATTTTTCAAAACGATTCTGACTTTCATTATTGGTCTCAGCCGTTTCATCTTGACTTCGAAGATGAATAGCTGCCTGAAAAAGAAAATGATTTTTATTAATGATAAAAATTGATCTTTATACTAAGAATAAAGCAACTTGAAGCTATTAGAAATCACGGAACTCAACTTGTATGTGCAACGTTCATTGCTTGTGTGTAAGCTAAATTTTTTTTACCAGATTATTTCATCTGCCCGTATCGAATAGAATAAACTCGCAGATTGGATGAAAACTAAGATTGAATTTTTCATTTTTAGATGATCAAAACTAATTTAGACTGAAGACTTACTCATGATTTCTATACTATTAAGAATAATTATAGATGTTTTTAATCAAATCATACACAATTATGTTTCTTTTCTTTTCGTCTTAGTATTTGCTCGTTTTATCATACAAGGTTAGAATTGATACATTTCAACATACGATAACGATGAGATGTCTAATAACCAATCGCTTACTCTTGGTTTTGCACGATATAGATTTGTGTCAAGAAAATGATGCATTTGTGCATCATCACGATAATGATCAGGCCCTTGACTTTCAAAAAACATTAAATCTGGTACAGTTTGTTCCGGTAAACTATAAAATAAAATATAAAATAAGTAAGATTTTTTCCCCGCACTAGATTCAATATACTTGGCAGCTAATAATTGAGAAAAGTTTGCAAATGTGCTTGAAGGTCTTAGATTAGTTGCTGATGCGGATGTAGGAAAAGCTGCTGATGATGGTGTTGGTACAAGTCCTTTGGATGTATCATGAACTTTCATAGCCGATTGCATATTTATTTTTTTAAATGTTTGTAATAATTTAATATCCATTTTTTCTTGTGGTGTTTCACGTAGTAGCCAACGTTTAAAATAATTTCGATCAAGATTTCGACATCTAGAAAATTATTTTATTTATTAAATAATTAAGAAAATATTTTCATTTCTTCATACTTATCACGTAATGAATTACTTCCACCACTACCAGATATTTCTTCGAGACAAGTCATTACATGATCCATCATCTATAGGTAAAAAAAAACAGTTCAATTAAAATACAAATAACTATATATATATATAGTTTAGTTTTTACTCGATTTGTTAATTTAGCTGACATCGTTGGTTCTTCAATTTGTTTTCGTCTTACATTGAGACATTTAACCAATGGACCAATAGTAATACCCTAAAATTAGCGAAATAGAATAATAGATTTGATTATTATTAATTTTTTACTTGAACAAAAACAGTAAAAAAGACAACAGCAATAGTTGCTGTAACAAATTCTTTTTTTCTCGGTATTTTCGTTTCATCAAGAATAAGAGCAAGCGAAAATGCAATCGCACCACGTAAACCACCATAAGACATAATTAACATATCAATACGTGTTAATTCAAGTAAACGCCAACAATTAGCTAAATTAGCAAATATGGCAATACCTATAGGAATGAAAATTAGAAAAGAAATTTGTTTACAATAGAAAAGAAAAATATTTTTCTTTTCTCATACCGATAACTCGGAATACAAGACATGAAAGAATTGTAATAAGAACGAAACCAGTATTCCATGAATGATGATCACTGACTGTTGATAAACCCATAAACATGAAAATAATTGTTTCCATAATACTTGATAACATTTTAAGAACATATTCAGTTGTCGCATCAGATTTTTTTGATATATTAAATGAAACATATTGTTTCATGACCATACCACAAAATGTTATACTAAAGTAAGTAGCAAAATAGTTTCATGCACATCAATGGTGAAGAATACATACGCTAGAATGCCTGAAACTGAAACCATTTCAGATGTAAGATAAGCCAAATAGGCATAAACAAGAATGATAAGTGGTTCTAGAACGGGTGTATGTTCAGTAAATTTAGTTGTAAAACATGCAACAACTCCAAATATAATTCCAATTAAAACACCGCCGAGAGAAACAACGAAAAATGATAAAGCACCCAATACATAGTCCATTAGTATTAGATTTTCTTGCCCAATTTTAGCAAATGAATCGAACATACGATAGAGAACGACTGAGACAGCATCATTCAATAGTGATTCTCCGAATACGACAATATAAAGCATGTCATTAACATGAATTTCAGTGAAGGTAGCTAGTACTGCTACGGGATCAACCGCTGATATAAGGGCAGCAAACACAAAGCAAGATAACATGTCAAATGGTGTGTTACCGAAAATTGGTGTACGTGCAAATCCATATATAGTAAGACCAATGCATACTGTATTAAATAGAGTATTGACAATAGCAAGTAAAAGAATTGTACCCAAGTTGTCAAAGAAAGGACGATTTGGCATAAAATAACCAGCTTCAAGAATTATAGGCTAAAGAATTCGACAAATAGATTAGTTTTTGCAAGTAAAAAAACAGAGTTTTGATGAATTGTAAGAAGATTGACTCAGACAATTGTTCTGATAATTGTCTTATCCAAGTAAAAATGGAAGGGCATGTTTTTATATTTAGCTGGAGGATATCCGGTCATTTATGATTGTGAATTAGATGTAGTTTTGATGGACTTATTGTCAAGAAATGAAAAAAAAAGAAATCATTTATGATTATTCTATTTAATTCTTTTTATAACTCTACTATAGATCATTACACATGATTGTATGATATATTTTAAATTTCGCTTATAATCAATTATTCAAAATTTGTGAAATATTCTAATTTAAATTCATGATCCCATATAGACAAATCTTTTACGTGATCTCGACCTTAACGTATCCTGCCATAGTTGGAAGGAAGTTTTCTTAGACGGCCTGATACCAAGTCACCTAATAAACATTTATGTCTCAGAATATAATTGCAGACGGGCTTCCATGACAACTATATCATTATGATATGACAAGTGTAGTCTATTAGAAACATGATTATGATTTTTTTTTGCTGTCTCTAAAATTAACTCAACCACTTCGCTTGTTATTGCAGGCTATGCTTAAGCTATCCGGCGGAAAGATCTCAAGATACTCAACTTAGCCTTTTGCTCCATGACTGAAAAAACAATATAACATTGAAGGTGAACTTCTTCATAGTGCCCTGAACTACACTATTGTTTGTAAACAGAACAAGAAAATGTTGACCCAGCTCTTTCTATGTTCGATATAGATAAGCTAATGAAATCCTAGACTCATAATATAAATTGATAATACTATTAATTAGATATCGCATTAGTGAAGATACCTTAAAAAGAAAAAACTATTCTTATATATGAAAAACAAATTCAATCTTAATGATAGCAATAAATAAAAACAAAAATAAATTCTTACAGGTAAAAGAAATAAGAAAAATGTATCACTATTGAGTACATATGCCTTTTGTTCTGCTAAATGTGTAATGTAAAGTAAACCACCGACAATAAGACCGAGCATAATTAAAAGACAGCTTTCAGGGAATTTTTCCGTCAAACGATATGATAAGTGAAAACCTACAAAATAACATGTAAATAATAGATTTTGTAACGCATTTTATTTAATAGTTTAAAAACAAAAATACCATACCAACTTTAGCTAATGACCCAAGTAGAATCCATAGAGTAATAGCGTAAACATCTGATACATGATCAAAATTAAATTCCGCCACATGAAAACGTAATGGTTTTCCTTGATTATGGATATATGTTTGTTCTTTACAATAATATTTATGGATAAGTAAACCCAACAGGAGAATGAGAATCACGAGACTTTTATTTTGATGCATTAAAAATTAAATTGGACGGAACGAAATAAAAAAAGAAACGTTTTGTTACTGTCTTCAATACTTTGTCTTAAATGCAATCATTTTCGTTACAAAATCAACCTGAAACAAGCAAAAAACAACAAAAAAATAAATTAGCTTGCATGCAAACATGCTGTGTTCTTCTGTATCATAAGGAAATAATAGGACGGATTTTTATGATAACTTTACTGCACTCCTGTAAACATGCGATCAGACAATTACAGCGGAGACTTTAAAGAAATCGTTTAGGCGAAAGGATTCATTGAAAGTGCAATCTTATGCCTTAAGTTTTTTTTTCGAAGAATAGTAAGCATTTCATTTTTTTTTCTTTCATTCATAATGATTCTTAATCCGAAAAGGTTACATAAATACGCATAAACTATAAAAAAAAACTTGCCTTTTCCCGATCCGTCAAACAACACATAATAAATACGGATAATTATTTCAAATAGAGACGAAGAAGAAGAAGAAAAAGAAAAAGAAAAATGATTGAATCTATGTCAACACTTGAGCGAAAAACATATCTTACATCGAAACCATATCCAATACTTGTTTTACATTAATACCATCGTCATTATTCTATTTTGTCAGCGCCTATTCAAGATTTGACTTGCACGATAGGAACTGAATAAGCAAAAAAATAGAAGAAAAACAATTATTTGTGCGTTCTGTCTGTGTATTCTGTTTTCTGCTATAATAATAATAGCACACAAGGATATATGTGCTGGACGTATATTGAATGAATGAAATAGATGTGTGTCAGGAGGCTGAAAGATAGAGGAAGAACAGAACAACAAAAAATAGACTATGTGTGTTGATTGACAACTAGCAAGAAGCACTTCGCAAAATCGAAACACAATGTTGAATCATTAATGAAAAAAAAAAAGAATTGTTCCCTTGAGTTTTAAAATAGTAAAAATATAATCTTGAAACTTGAAAAAAACTAAGCGACGTCATTATTCTCTTATTCCTATTTCATAGTTCTACACCAACCTTTTTACATTAGAATAAATGCTAAATTTGAGACTCCTTGTTGTCCGTGCCAATGCGACATACATAATACATCGTATCTGTCTAAAATAAACAAATATTTATTTGATTTGATAATCACAAGAAAAAGCAAAAATGTTCGAAAAATTATGTTTGTGCGTATTTCAAAGAATAAAAAAAATTCGACATCAGCAAAACTCAATCAGACAAATGACATCAACAGAAATACAAATATAAATAAAAATAACAAAACACATTGAGCTTTGGTGTTTTAAATACTATCTAATCTTTATCACTGTCACTTTCGGTTGCAAATTCGTCATCGTCAGCTTTATTATTAGTGGCACCATCGTCTTCACTAAAATCCCATTGTGGATGATTGTCAGCGACTTTCTTCGCTGTTTGAACATCAAACTAAAAACAAAACGAATTCTATAGAGAACAACATTCTTTTTTTAAATATTTACCGAAAAATTTTCCGTTACGTCAGCATCAAAATAGGAATCAGATCTTAATATTACTGTATATACGTAATGGCCGCGTAATTTTGGTGCAGAAAATTTGACTTCAATCTATTCGAAATTCAAAATTAAATTTCAAAATTAAATTATTTGTCAATTTACTTCATCATCATCCTTTAAATTACATAAATAAATGGGTACACTGATTAACGCATGCTGCTTTCTATCGGCAACATACAACCACCAACATTCTTGTTTTATCTTAAATGTAAAGAACAAGTTAAGAAGAAGAAGAAAAAATTATAATAGCTCTCATACTTCAGGATAAAACGGACAAAAAACACGATGACTGATTTTAGCTTTTGTTTCTAATTTTTCTCGTTTCCGTTGTTGTTGTTGAAATCTTTCAAGAAATACATCGTCGTCCTTATCATCATCCGGAGTTTTGGTCTTATTTGATGATATTACTGATTCAGATTGTTCAGGTGTTGAGTTATTCGGAATATTTTCATTAGTATTATCATCATCATCATCATTATTATTATTATTATTATTAGATTCATTATCAGTTTCATTTAGATCGTCTCTTGTTTGTTCGTGACGTTGACGTGAATTTGTAGGTGAATCTGATGAGGAAACAATATGCAATAGATTGTAATCTATTGCGTCTTTTTAAATATGCATATGCTTACCATCGGAATGTTTGGATGAATCATCATCTAAACACGGCAGAGAGAGAAAAAGTACAAGTACACAGTATATGTTTTTGGCAATTAGAAAGAACAACAATAATCAATCAAATGTGATTAGTTATTCATGAAAAAATGGTGCACCTTCGGAATATATTACTCTGAAAGGAAGAAAAAGGCGACTAATAGGAGAATAGTGCTTTGATTATTCTTTGAAAGAACATGAAGTTAGAATGTGGAAAAAAAGTATTAAGCACCTGCGAAAATCGCTTGTCAAAAACCAATCCCTTTTATAACGAGCCGCATACGTGCTATGTATAGCGATGTGACATTAATTAAATTTCCATTAGTAGATACAAAAGACAGCAGGCTCACTACTATAGTGGACTAAAAATCGGTTTAATATGAGATATAATCTTGAAAAAGATATAAATCACGAAAGCAATCTTTTTCTTTTTTTTATAAATTTCTGTTTTCTATAAAATTGCCTCAAGATAAGAGAAGAAGTACTGGTAGTAATTATACTTTCTATGCATTTATTTATGTAAATGATACGCTACTTACCACTGGAATCTTTGTTATCATTTTTAATTGTTTTTTTCTGATTATTATTCGTGTTAGTTGGTGTTTGCTTATTGATTGCTTTCGTAGATGATTTCGGATGTCCTTTCTTCTTGCCTTTGTCTTTATTGGCTTTCTTTTTCTTTTCTGATTTATTATTCCAACCTTTTGATGAAGTAGTCGTGGTAGTCGATGCTTTTAATGTTTCATTTGTCTGTTAAACATAAAATAAGGAATTCATTGAGAATAAAAAAGAAAAATATACGAAATATTTTTGTAACCTTGTCTCGATTTTCTCTGTCACCAATTTCTTCTTCATTTCCTTCGCTATTGAGTGTATTATTAGTAAGAGCAGAGGAATTTATAGCTAATTCTTTACTAAATAAAGATGACATATTTTGGCGATGCAAACGCATGGTTAATGTTACAACAGCTCCTGTTGTTATTATATGTTCATCGTCATCGTTGGCGACTAAAACAAATAAAATTATCATTCATATAGCTTTTGTTTTTTTGCATAAAGAATTAAGTTTAACATAAAGTACATCGTGTAAAATTAGTATAACAATGAGAAATTTCCAACCGAGTCCTGAATCTATTGAAATATTTACTTCTTATTTGTCCAACAAAAGACATCAATGCAGTGTTTTAATTACTCATTCATGTGTACATAAGCGAAACGTATTCTACTCCAGTATGATTCTAGTTTTCCATACTTTAAACATAATCAAATATGAAGAAGGACCCGCCGTCAACCAACTGTCTGACTTGAAATCTTCTGAAATTGCCCATAGAAAAATATGCAAATTTTGCTTTGGTCGAGAGATTTCTATTCTAAAATAACTTGAGGGTAAAATATATCGTGCTTATGTATGAATGGCAAGGATGTTTCATTGACAAAATAAATATTTCAAAAGATCGCCGACTTTATTCAAGTCGCAACTTTAACAATTATTTACTTGATTAAACTGACTTTACACAGTGTACTGTAAATATCAAACTTCACGGGTGTGTTATTATTAAAATACCTCCGAATGAGACAGTCATTGTTACATGTGGATAGATGGCAAGAACATTCATAATATCATAATACTGTTCATCGGTAATACTACGTAATATAGAACGACGTTGTTCATCACCCATGGCGGCAAATTGCCGAATATGCTTGATTGTGCGCTAAAAAGAAAAAATATAAACAAATGGTTTTACGGATTATTTGTACACGATATTTCATTTGTTTGTTTAGATAAGTCAATAATCCGATGAAATCAAATTCAAGGCTAATTTGAAAAGTGGCAAAACTAGCGTCAAGTTTCATACATTTTTAATCCTGTACATGAAGAAAACGACAGAATTGTCCTACACAATTAACTACATAGTGCATTATGAGATAGATTACAACCATAGATATTAAACGCACTTCGGTTGGGATTAAAACAGAAGTCGGTCATTTTTTTGTTATTTGTTAAAGAATTGAAAATCTTATAAATATATCGGTATTCATCATCGGTAATATAAAGAATTAAATCGTTTTCACATGTGCGAGAGTAAAAATGATACATAAATATATATATATATATATACATATATATCAAAGAGATATCGATTCCAACGGAGAAATTAATGATATTTTCGAAAAACAATATTTAATCTTGTAAAATGCAGTTGTACATTTTATTTCAAATTTTATTTTTAAATAGATATTTTTCTCCCGAACTAGTCAAGCCAATTCTCTCGGCGACAAGCTAGAATGCCCACTGACACGTATTTTTCGTGTGATGGAGCTATTTATATGGGACAAGTTTTTTTTTTCTTTTTTATGTCTACATCTGACCAAATAATATTTTCCTACTCAGTTTTTCATGCTGATTCAGAATGTAGTACTTTAAAAATGCTCAGAAAATAACTGAAAAAGAAATTTGGTAGTTTTTGTAAAAAATTTAAATTTAACATAAAAACAGCATTTTTTCAGTCGTTCTTGTTTTTGAAGATTTTCTCAGCCAAAAAAAGATGAAATCGAAATAAAAAGTACATATTCTTGATCAACTTTTCAAGCTCTATCAAAACATATATAAATAAGCGAGAAACAAAATTTACTCCAATTCTGCTTTAGCGGCACCTTACTAAAATCATATGTTGTAATATGAAAATTGCGTACCTTCTTTGTTTCGAAAAATCTTAAATGATTTTCAGTAATATGTGGCAATTGAAGAAGTGGACTTTTTGTATTTAATAATGCTTGCACCATCATAGGTGATAATTTCATTGTATTTTCAATTGTTTCAAGTTTTGGACCAATTTCACCTAATGAAAAAGAAATGGTCACATGCAAATAACGAATCTCTTTCATTTTACACATACTGTGTTTAATATGTTGCACATTCACCAGTTGTACTGCCACATTTATTATCTCATTAATCAAATTAATTGAACGTCTTACAATATACTGTTTATCTAATAGAATAGAAAGCAATATCATAAAATTCAAATTTGCATGCGCAATATTTCCGCTGAAAGGAGACAAATGTAACTTTTAGTTAGATTGGATTCTTATATCAAGATTGTCTGTCGAATATATTCTTTTAGTGAGAGAGTAAAGTCTATAGATATAGAGTTGGTTTCGATGATATGAACAAAGCCGATAGTGAGATTTTTAGCAATATATGAATAGAAAGATAACCGATCTTCTCAAGTATCCATCGAGCTCTGAAACAAGAACTGTTGCCGTACGATTATTGCAAGATCTTGAAGTTCATAAATACCTTTTTCAAGATTATCACTTAATGAGTCAAGTCGATGAAGATGTGCATAAATTAATGTACGTGCTTTGATACTGTATAGCTGTTGAAATGGTATTTCTTTAATATTTTCTTGTACATTAGTTAATTCTCTAAATAGCTAAATAATCAAAAGACTTTTTTTGTATAAACAATTTTCCTATTAACAGTTTAAAATAACCTCTGGCAATTCAATATTATCACTGGGTCGATCAACAATCATTGGATTGAGTCTACGATCAAATTCTGCTGATGCACTTAAAATCAGAAGAGAGCCTAAAAAAAACATTCGTGAGATTTCAAATACATTGTTTCTCTATCATCAAAAGAAATCTATCAAAGGATAGACAACTATAAATGCAATCAACATCCTCCATTGAACATCACAGAAAACAAACTATTGATTAAATTTTTCAACATACGTTTAATACTTATCAATGATGTTTTCGTAAGAAGAAAATGATAAATTTTAATCGTATCAATTAATATATGGTCACCAGCGTAGCGTGCTGATTTTTGCCACCAAATACACTGCATAAGATAAAAAGAAAAGAAAAATCTATGCTTCAGTTAATCATAAATTTGCATACAATAATAACTGGTAGAACAATCATAAATACACCAGTATAAATTAAAAGAACAAATAACGAATTTTTATGATCGACCAACCATTTTGGTAGAGCAATACCAAAATGAGTCACTGCAATTGGAGAGAAAAACAATTTAAGCTTGAAAGAACAAAAAAGAAAAGCACATACCTCCTGGTCCATCCGGATTTCCATATGTTTTCCAATTGTTTTTTGCTTCTTCATCTGTTAGAGTTTTGTAAGCTTTAGCAATATCTTTCTATAGGAAAAATACGTTTTTGTTTTAATTTATTATTAAATGAATTCGTTTTTAGTTTAAAACTTGCAAACTTTTCTGGGTCGCCACCACGATCTGGATGATGTTTTTTACTTAATTCACGATAAGCTCGTTTTATTTCACTAATGCTAGCTTCCTAGACAATCATTAATTGATGCATTTGTTATGTATATATAAAATTATGCGAATAGTTACCAGATCAACGTCAAGTATCATAAATGGATCATATTCTTTATGTTCAGTTTCTATCAGTGATACCCGATAAGCAAGAATTAATAATATAATCCATGCTGCTAAGAGAACAATTTTACTAAAAGGTTCAAAAATAAATAAAAAGTTTGAAAATTCATTGAAATTATCATTTTTATTTTTGTGTGGATATTATAAATTAGCGAACAAAATTAAACAATCATAGTTGAAAAATATCGTTCTCTTTTTCAACTTCTATTGACATAATCATGCATATAGTAAGTCTCTTAGGAGCATCGTGAATTAAAACTATAAATAAACTCAACGGGAATCCTTTTTTCTCGCTTCATTTATTTTTGGCTTTTGTCTGAATCAAAAGAAATTTTTACAGTTTTCCTTCAAAGCTTTTACTTATAGTATTTCAACATATATAATCGACTATATCTAATAATGAGTATACTATGCATAATATTTTAAAGACGTCATAACAAATTAGATTTTATATCCTGTCATTGTGAACCTCGGGAAATACTTTTAAAAGTCTTTCTAGAAATATTAGCCTACGCCTTAGTTCGCTGACATTAACATTATAGATCATGATGATTAGCTGTCTTTCGAACGAACCATCAATAGATGGCGATTTAATTAAAGCAGAATTTAATTAGCACTGATAAGGGTTTATCGAAAAGTAATTTTACTGAGTATTCTTTAATCTTTCTAAAATAGCCATTCGAAATTAGTTAAAATATTAAATTCAGTTTTCTTTCCAAATCATGCACGAGATTTCTTTTAACAATTATAAACCAACTTGAGAAAAGACTTAGTACGTTAAAGTCATTTTAATAAAGCGAATGAAAGAATGTACATCTACTTGTAGAACTTTACACGGAGAAGTAATTTGATTCAGATAATTTCTCAACAGTGAGTGTCTTGAAAAGAGGTGGACAGTGTCAAAATTACTCTATTTCCGTAAAATATAGATTTACAAACTATGTCGAGTTATTCCGGACGCTTATGTTTGTTTGCTACAAAACAATCTTGTCTTCCACTCTATTGTATTTATAATGTGTAGTACAGAAAACTAATGTGGCGAAGCAGTGAGACTCTAATAGTTCGATTAATCGTTCTGCAATTAGGGAGTCTAGAGAAAACATGCGATCTATATTTAGAAAGAATATACTAAGTTTTGACTAACACTTTGCGCTTTTAAAAGAAAAAAAACGAATGAGTATATTGTGAAATAGTTTTTCAATATGCCTGCTGTTTTTCTAGCAATGGCGTGGAATTATTTTTAAGCTGTTTTCAATTATAGAGCACCGAGTATAATGATGTCGTTTCCTCCAATAGAAATGAATTTACCTCTTTTTCATGCCATCTGTAATTATTTTTAAAAGAAAAAAGTATTATTAATGTAAACTCTACTATCAGTCTATAAAATCTTACACAAATATAGTGCGCCGTCGTCGTCGAGGCTCACTTGCACGTAATAAATGATATTTATCACGGCAAGGAGGATAACTTAATATATCTTCAAGATGCGTACTTTCTAAAAAGAAACAATTCACATTAAATAAACTGTGTAATTTTATTTCTCACGTTTTTCTTCTGATTTTGGCCATAGCCAATAAGTCGCTGGTACAAGTATCAATGCGTAAACGGATAGAAAAAAATAAAAAAATTTGCCACCATTTTCATCATACTAAAAGGTAAAATAATTGAATAAAATAAAAATTATAAAAAAATCGACTATTGCAAACCTCAAATTTCATGCCAGCCATAACTTTTCTCTTTTTATATGTTTCTTGATTGTATAATTATCAGTACAATATTACTTATCAGTTCTTCTTCATTCTCAAACAATTCTTAAAACGAAACAAAGCAAATTAATCTAAAGAGAAGAAAAAAAATGTTCAAGCACAAATATTTATTTGATTTAAATTCTTGGTTTTTTGTTTTGTTTTTTTAAATAGCAATAAAAAGATTAAATTAAACGTAAAACAACGACAAAAAAAAAGAAAGCAAACATTCAAATGCATTAATCATTGTATTGTGTTCATTCTAAGAGGAGAAAAAATTCTAGATTAAAAAGAAATATCATCACAACAATAAAAGAGAAAAAAATCAGACATTTAGATATTTGTATACTTTTGTTTTGTTCCTCTATGTAAACATTAAGATAAAATTTTTGGTAAAAAATGCGAGCAACAAAAACATCAAATGTTTATTTTTTCTTTATTCCACCGTGTATTTGATTTTAGCGATAATTTTGAACTAATTGAACGACATATTTCGAACTGATTTGTCCAAAATGTGACTTCAAATATTCTTGGCCACCATGTTTAAGCCATTCTTGTTCGAAGTCACTTTCGAGAATTTCAGCACCTTTTTTCGTTGCTAAACCTGTTTCATCTAAACTTAATTCACACATATTCATGTCATCTACACCTGCAACAAGAAGAACAGATTCTTTATTTGGATGGATTTCCATTTGACGAGCAATCCATTTATCTAATCAAGTTTTAAGAAATAGGGTGATATGTTATCAGGACAAACATTTTATCTTACCATCAAAATGAGCATACCACCATCCTTTCTTTTTTTGATCACCATTTGTATCTCGATTTTGATCATTAGGACGAATAAATGGAATACGAAAAAACCGTTGTTCAGTTCCTTTACCGCTGCTAGATTTTTTCGAGCTAGCGGTTGTTGCCGGTTGGCTAGCCTTTTTAGTTACTCCGATTGGTGTTGATGAGACACCAGCTGCTGCAGGTACAACAACTTTGAAAGGAAAACAATATTGATGTATTCATTTACAATAACAATAATTTTAATCGATGAAAAGAATACTCTTTTTTTTTGCACAATGAAATAAACGGAAATACTATTTAGTTGTACCTATCGAGGAATGTTTACCTAGGTGAGAATCATTGAAGACAATTTTCTATATTATCGATAGATAAATCCGGCACAGTCTCATCTATCGTTATGAAAGAGAAAATACAGTATCACATTGGTATACGAATATCAGATATAGGCTGCTCTTTTCCAATAGTTTATTTCGCTCTACGAATAAAAACAAGTCGAATTGCAACGAAATACGTCTCATTAAAGTCAGAAGTTGAAGAAGAAGATTTTAAAAGAGCAAGTGAACATTATATTACGGAAAAAAAACATTAGAAGTATTGAGTAAAAACCTATTGCATTTTTATCGTAAATCGACTCTCTTTTTTTTCTTATTTACATGAGTCGATCTCAAAATGAAGGCACTAGTTTATTTTATATTTTTCTATTGAGATAAACTTACAATTATTTAAAATATCCTGTGGGGCTCGTTCTTCATCTTCATCAATGTTATCGTCTTCAGCCGATGGATTTTTTCCTTTTCGATTTTTCGATTTCCATGCATGATAAACTTTCAAACGGCGATGAAATTCTTCTCGACAAGCATCGAGTAGTTCCAAATCTAGATGAAATGAATTTTGTTATTTGTTTTGAGTTTTTAATCTTATTTATTTACCGCAAGATGTATTGATTAAGTCACGTAGTTGAGCATATGTATGTTTACTTAAATCATGTTTTTGATTAGTAGTAGGTCGACGTGTTCGCTGTAAATGGGGTAAATCAGCTTCGCCACCAGTTTCTATAGCAAGACGTCGTGCTATATCATAATCACGACGTTCACGTTCATTCACTTCCGCTACACGAGCTTCTTCATCAGATTCTTTGGCTTGACGTTCTTTCTACAAATATAATATGTATGACTTTGATTTGATGATACCCATGTTTCTTTTTTTAGTGATCAATTCTTACTTGACGTTTCGTTTCTTCAGCAGTAAGTTTACCTTTAAACTGCTCTTCTTCTTTTTGACGTTGAGCAATAGCTGAACGTCTAATTGTAATAGAAGATTTTAAATAAGTAAACAAGAACATAGAAATCTTACTGTCGAAACTCTTCTTTTTCGTCCGCTAAACGTTTCTCTTCAGTAACTTTTTTATGCTTTTCACGCTCGAGTTCCACCTAAATATTATATTTATTTTTAAGGATAGCTACTTTCATTTTTATTTACTTGAATTTTTTTCAAACGTTCTGCTTCCTCTTTTATATCTTGTTCGGCAGCAACTTGTTTCAAACGTTTGAATTCACGATCAATTGATGAAGCAAGATCATTATAGGCATTATCAATATTTGCTACTTTCATAGATGTATTCTAAATAAAATCATTGTTCGTTAATAGAAATTTCATCTTATTGATCGATGTTTATTTATAATTTATAATCAGATTTCTAGTTTATTAAGCAAATTTAAGAAATTCCCTTTTAAAATGAACTATGCAACGTGATTAATTGAATGACAATAGATTCATTCGGCTGAAAATTTAAGAATATGCTCTTGGTGATCTTTACTAGGTGAACTCCTTCCACTTGCGATGAACTGTAAATGAAGCTTACTGTTATTTCATGAATTAATTGATCGATTCGTTGTCTTAATTGGTGTACTTGTTTGTAAACTTGTTCTTTGTTCGCCTTCAGCTGTGTAACAAATTTTTCCATTGAAGCAACTTGTTCATGTAATGCTTTTACTTTGACCAAACCTCGAATTCTGAGAATAAACGTGAACAAAAACAAATATGTATAGATGTGAAAAATAGATCTTCGCTATAGCTACCGTGGTGCATAACGTTTATAAACTAAATGCATACGAACACGTTTTTGAATTTCAACCAAGCATTGACGTCGATAAAGAATTTTATTTTTAACTAAAAACCATAAGAAATGCTTATGAAAAAGCGTTTTTATTGTCAAAATTTAACTTACGTTTAATAACGGATAAAACACACCACTGTGCTTTTTTCCATCGAGTCCATAAAAGCCATTTTTTAACTTTCGATATAAGTACAGCTAAATTCTTCGGATCCGATTTCATAATTTCATCAAATTCAGCAAATTTTCCGGGGCGAAAAAAAACTTTTGTTAAACCAAATTTAAAATCTGTATCATGCAGATTCAAAGCTTTAAATAAAGCTTTACAGAAAAGTCGTGGATCAAGTCGTGCTAATTCTTTTGGTAAATATGATTTATACATTCCATATAAATCAGCAAATTGTGTACGTGATGGAAAACCTTGTTGCATTAAATCCAACACTGAGACCATCCCTATTCGTAGACATAAATAAATATATTTACTCCATATTGAGAAAATTCTTCTCATGATATCTTACCGCTACATTGTAACTGACTTAGAATTTGACCACCTTCAAATAGATTTGAAACCATTTTGAGATTTGGTTTAATACAACGAATGAAATTAATACCCTATATGAAATACAGATTCTAGTTAGATTAATCATGCTATTTATAATTTTAGTGGGTCGAGAATTACCAATATTTATTATCTAGACTTACTATTAAATATACAAAAGTTCTCAATCATTTTTATTTATGATGAATAGTCAGGTCAGGACAGTTCAGTTGCGACAAAATAGACTATTCAGTATCTTTTCCTTTTAGACATCATTATATAAAATTAGGTTTTTTTTTCTGTCATTACGAGGCTAATAAGTTGTTGATAGTGTGAACCATTCAGAAATCAATACCTACGAGAAAACAGCAAAGCCTTCAGTGTAGAATACATTTGAGAATTAATCAAATTATAACTTGCAATCGCACTCAAATCGATAGAAAATGCGATTATAATGGATTATTTGAAAAATTCGAAACTAACTTTTTCTGACAATATTCTCAACTTTAAACTTTGTTGGCCATTGAAAAACAGTTGTAAAATTTCTCATATAATATTAGCTATCTGAAGCAAGTTTTTGCTAAATAAAATGCAATACTACCGTATTTCTATGGTATATATCAATACGAAATTGTATAATTATCGAGTTTTTAAATAAGAAAATACGCATAAATTATTTTTATAATAGCAGCTTGTTTACTTACAGTACTTCGTAATTTATTCATAAGATCAGCTAATTGCGAGCGGAATTTTGAGCCGACAGAAATAAAGTTCAGTTTTCCAGCCGATTGTCCTTGTTCTTGTCCTTTTGGAAAAACATTTCTTATGAAACTATTTCTAGATTCTTGAACTAGTATAAGTAATGATGTATGTAAAGCATCGTTATTTTTCTCAATAAATTGAGCCTAAAAGAAAACCTCACATATGTATACATGAATAACTGATATGCGAATAAGACATACAGTTGAATAAACAACACTGCCGGCAAAATGCTGAACTAAAAATCCTTCGTCATCACGAATTTCACGTGATGCACGTAATTTAGATTTACGTGGAAACTGAACACAGAAAACAAAAATAAATTCGACAAAATTCTAAAGGAATTTTATTTACATCAAGTCTTGCATGACCTTTATTACGATTATGAACTTCATGTGTAAAATGTTCAGGTCGTGGTGTTGGTAATTTACTTTCTTCATCCAATAAATCAAAGCAACCTGTTGTTTTCGCTTCGATTAAATCTAAACATATCATATTAATAAATAAAATATCAATTCAAAAAAAAAACAACTTTAACAAAACACAGTTTTCATTTAACATGCAAGTTGGACGAGGTAAACATGCTGTCTTTTATATAACACTTGATTAGATTAGGTTTTAAACACAAAATCAATCATCAGACAATGTTATTATGAATTATTGAAAGCGAGTATAAACTTGAATAGATAATTAAGAAAAAAAGAATTCTCATCCTCAGAAACTATTATCTATCCATCGACTAAGGTTAATTTTGTTAAAAACAATCCAATCGTATCACGAATCAATACACACTCAGTTTTCATATTTCATTCCAATAGATTTTTATATATCAACTCGTATAATACAATTAAATGACTATCTAATTACATTATTTTCAAAAGTCCGATAAATTGTGTTCTACGAAGCACTACATAAAAGTGATATATTGAAGCATATAAAAAGCTGAACAACAGTTCTTCATCTTTTGTTTTTATAGTTCTTCTATAGTTATATTTTCTTTCAATTCAATCCTTTTAACACCGATGAATATATCATATACAAAAGTGTCTCCGTTAAAAATGCACTTCATATTCTTTCTTCCAACTTCTACTACATATCATTAGTAATTTTTCTTTTCACCCGTGCATATATTATCTAAGATTTTTTTTTGCTATCAAAAAGCCTGAGTTTGAAGCCGAAATATTTTTTTATCATACTCATGCAAAATAGATAACGACACACATACACACAAATGTAGTTATGTAAAAAATTCGCCCCTACCAGGCTGCTATTTAATTTAAAATAGAAAAGAAAATTTTAAGAATGATAAAGCATTCAATTAACATACCAATACAATCTTGATTATCAATATAGCCAATCTTTTTCAAACCAAGACCTTCTTTTTCATACAATAATTGTTCTTCTTTAAGTATGCGTTCATTAAAAAATTGTTGTAATTTTTCATTACAATAGCTGAATAAGAAGAAGCATTATTATTATTTAATTAGTAGTTTTATGGTCATACTTAATACAAAATTGTTCGAATGAGTTAATAGGAAAATATTCAAAACCAGCAATATCAAGAATACCAATATATGAATTCGATGAACTAAACGGTATTGATTTGTTCACAAAAGTAACGATTTGATCAAATAAACGAATGTATATTGCTTTAGCTAAAGCATCACGTGCATTTTGAGCTTCATGAACTTTTAATGGAACACTAATTAAGGAAAAAAACAAAAGAATTATTGTTTGAATTTTCTTTGACAGTGAGGAAGATAATATATGTCTACAATATTAAATCTTTCTAAATCAGTAGTACTGAATCTATTGGAATCTAGTCATCTAGAAGATTCTGAATATCATAAAACATTCAAGGTTACTATCCAATCTGGATTAAAAAGGTATTCGTTGAGATTATTCTAGTATGGTCGGTTAGTCACTATTCTTCCGTTATTTTATTTAATCCTTCAGGAATGTAGTAAGAAAATACTTCTTATATCATAATGAGACCTTGATCAACTCAGGTATACAGTCGTCTAACAATAATAAATACGGTGGAGGGCTGACATTTTTTTTTGCTTCATTTGAACAATCGTGTTCGATAAAAATTTACTTACTGTATAACAGTTCCTTTACTGCTACTCGTTGTTTTAGTCATTAAAACTCTTGTTATTAGAGAATTGCGTAAATCACGTGGATCAAGACCAAGCATTTCAGCTGTTACACTCAATGATTTTTCCGTTGCTGGAGTTATTTTACAACCACCTTTCGTACTCTCAGGATCATCGTCAAAATTAATATTTCCAAGATGTAAAACTGCTGCAACGGTACTATAAATATTTAGTTTATCTTGTGTTGTTAAACCCATTTGATCCATCGATTGATCGCATTCATTAAAATCATTAACATCATCTAATTGTGGATCACGTAATGCACCTTTTGCTATGAACTAAGAATAAACTCAAAGAGATTAGATTCATTCATTGAACTTCATAAGCAAGAAATAACAACATTTAGGACAATAGAAATATCTTACAGCAAGAAAATCTTTCTAATCAGCAAAAAAATAAATAATATTTTCAGTCCTTTTTTTTGTTCCTTCAATTCATTGAACTTACATCGTCACTTCGACGGTTTTTTGGTAAAGATTTTTCTGTTTGATTATTACAAAAATATTGTGTACAGCCACGATTAAGATACTAATAGAGATAAAAGAAGATTTAAGAGTGAATTCGTTTGCTATCTTGATATACAAACATGAAAACTATCTGGTGATCCCAGGCGTAATGCACTTCGAATGCTTTCAGGTGCACCAGCACATAAACGATAGAATATATGATAATTTCGTTCATCTTTTGATTGTACACATATACGTGATTTTTCAAGCAAATAATGAGATATGTAACCACCAACAACACGATGCTAGAAGAAATATAGTTTTATTTTCTTTCATTGAATAATTTATTATTCTAAATACTTTATCATTAAAATGTACTTCAATAAATTTGCCAAAACGACTTGAATTATTATTACGTGTTGTTTTCGCTAAATATTCAATATTTTACATGCAAAAAAAACGATCAGTAGAGCAAGAACTTTCTCTTTTACCATTTCCAAATGCTTCTAACAATGGATTTGCTAAATAAAATAAAAGAAACAGTTACGGGAGAAGAATATCGTATGATTTATTTACATTTATTTATGCGATCTTCAATTTGACCATTATGTGCACCATAAGATTCAGTTAAATATTGTAAAACGTATTTTGCTGATTCAGTTTTGCCTAAATAATAATAATCAATGAAAATTTGATGATCTATAAGATTGCTCATACGAACCAGCCCCTGATTCGCCTGATACTATTATCGATTGACTTTGCTTGATCGTACGCATATCACGATAGGCTTTATCGCCTTAAATAAAACATACATCAAATTATTATTATGAAATATCATATCAACTACTGAAGAATATCGGATCAATCCTAGAAAACCTACCAATAGCATAAACATGTGGTGGCATAACGCCAAGTGATTTTCCATTGTAACGCTTGGTTGAATCGCTACTATAGAGACCAGCTAAATCTTTATAAGGATTAATTGCAATTAAAATATTCGCCACATAAGTCTAAAAAATAAGTTCAATTAAAAATTGTTTTTCTTTTGTGTTTCATATTCTTCCTACATAAATTAAATCTTTTTTATATCGACGACGAACATTATTTAGTAGTGTTGCTTCATTAAGATACATAAGTGCGCCTAAAAATTAAAAAACAACTATAACTAATTTGAAAATTTTTAATAAAAGAAATACAAACAATTATCATCAACATTTTTATCATATTCTTCCGCTTGAAATGCTGAATCATACGGAACAACTATTGTCTATAAAGAAAAACATAGGAAAATTTTATTTTTTTTGTTGAATTTCGACTTTCAGTCAAACTTTTCTATTGTCCTTTAATTGAACAGTAACATTATCGGAGCCAATATCAGTTATTTTACCAAGAAGAAATCCATGTTCATTATCTCGTATCCAAACTGGTTTATTATCATTGAGTGCGAACATGTAGAAGATTTCTAATGGCTACAAATTCCCACTAGATGACAAACTATATCTATAATGCGTTCAATGCCTGAGTAAAAAGAGAAGTAAATATTGATCGAACGAGAGTAAAACACGCCCGACTGATATCTGAGTAAACATATCATCATTTAGAATTTTTCTCTCTCTAGTCATCATGCTTACTCACATATTCTATTGGTTTACTTCTACTAACCAATCATGAAAAATTAAATAACATCTGCTAATTTCTTTCATATTCTTTATATTAATAATGAATAAAAACAATTTTATGCATATTTTCGTTTAATTATCGCTTTTAAATTTCTACGAAACTGAAAACTATCGATTGTGGCGCTTATTTGCATTTATTTCCGTTATTGAAATCACACAGTACTCTTTTCATTAGATGCACTCATTGAAAATTAACTAGATGGTATTCAAGTTTTACTCGAATACAAAATGCGATGCGAAGCAGGAATCTGGATTCACGAAAAATTTTCAATTCAGAGAAATCTTGAATACCTTTTTATGTCGACATGATGAAATTCATCACTGAGAAAACTCTATTCTTACTTAGCGAAACATTCTTAGGGGTCGATTTCGATTGATCGATTAATTATCTACATGATTCATTATCTTAGATCAGCTGTAAATCAATNAAAAAAAAAACTCGCGACGGACTACAGAAATGCTTCTGCTTCGCATCGCATTAATGATGCATGGTTTATTGCTATCGACAGCTGTGAATCCAAAAAGGTACTTTTTGCTTTCTTCAATACAAAAACTATGTTCGCTGATTGAGTAAAGAAAAAAGAACAGAACAGCACCATCAGTTATTTTGATTCAACATTTGCACACAATTAGTTTAAGATTGAAGGTGAAAGTACATGGGAGAAATGTGATTTATTTATCTTTGCTTTTATATTATTTTGTAAAATATATGGAGATATAAAATTTGTTTTTTCTGGTGATGATTGAAATTTGTGAAGATATTTATATAATTTTCTTTTGCGTTTTATGAATTTTGCTTGATAGACATGATAGTAAATGTCAATGAAAATTGGATATAATTACAAATGTTAATGATTTTCTTTCATATAGAAAATTGTATTACAGATGAACGGAAGAAAGAAAGAAATAGTAAATGAACACGAGAATCACCAAGAAAAACGGTATTGCATAGCAATTCAACTTATTTTCCCTTTTATGATTGCTGGATTGGGTCTGGTTACTGCTGGACTTGTGCTTGAACGTGCGAAGGTATTATTCTATATGTCAGAATAAACATTTTCATACAAATATAAATAATAACTTCAATAGATACAACAATATTGAATACATGAGAATGCTTCTATAATTAGTTTTCATTCAAAGAAATGCCAGTAATTGTCTGCAGTAGCTATATCTCTCGAGATGATTATGGCAAAAAGACAAGCTCGAACAAAAGTGTTTTTCGTTAATTCAGGGAGAACGAGTGAAGAGTGCCAAAAGGAATAACGTCATATTTCAAATGTCAGTATGACATAAAAAAAAGAAAACTTCTTGATGATTCAAACGAGTTTTTATTGATAAATCATAAAGTATTGAATTCGTTAAAAATGTATCTCGCTAAATTTTATAATCTGATGATTTGTACAATGGGATTTATTCAGACTGAACTGATATAATAACTGTATTGATCTTTGGAAAGCTTATTTTTGAATTTTCTAGGAATTGAAAGTATTCAAAGAAATAACAGCAATTTATATACTCATTCCAGCTTTACTTGGTTTAAAAGGCAATTTAGAAATGACATTAGCTTCTCGTTTATCTACTCATGTATGCTATGAAGTTTAGTTTTTATTTATATTACTATTCGTTGAATGTTTTAATCATAGGCAAATATTGGAACCATGGATACAAGAAGTGAATTGAAAATTTTAATTATTGGTAATATTGTTCTCATACAACTACAAGCTATTGTTATTGGCTTTCTTGCTGCTATTGTATCTGTTTTTATCAGCTGGATAGCACAAGGTCAATTTAATTTTCAGCATGCTCTTGTTTTATGTAGTAGTAGTGTTTCAACAGCATCTATTGCATCGTCAGCATTATGTATTTAGAAATGATTTTAGTTTATTTCAAACTCTATAAATGAAATATTTATGATTTAGGTTTAATTATGATCACAGTTATTGTTGCATCTCATAAATCTTGTATTGATCCAGATAATATTGCTACGCCCATAGCTGAATCACTGGGTGATCTTATAACTCTTGTTATTTTATCTATTATTGGTAGTTTTATTTTTAAAACTATAAGTATGTAAAACTATCTTTTTATCGCAAATATTTTCTATTTTGTTTAAATCTTTTAAGATGATTATATATGGTTACCAATCGTAATAATAGGTTGTTATATACTTCTAATACCCGTGTGGACTATGATCTGTGCTCGAAATAAATATGTTAAAGATGCACTTATTGAAGGATGGTATAGAAATAAATTTTATACAAAAAACAAATTTATTGAACTATTTTTTTATCAGGTCCCCAATCATAGCAGCAATGCTAATTTCGAGGTAAATATTTATGATCGTATTCAAATTATCTAATAAATATTGATCTAGTACTGGTGGCCTAATTCTTGATTTTGCTGTTCAAACATTTCATAGCATTGCCGTTTTTCAACCATGCATGAATGGTAGAAGGATACCACTTTGTTTTTTTCTCTTTACTGGAAAGATAATTGTATCATATAGGCGTGGGTGGTAGTCTGGGAGCCGTACAAGCAAGTCGATTATCAACTGCTTTTCATAAAAAGGGCAAACCAGGAGAATTTATAAATGAAGAAGAAAAAAAGAATGCAGAATCTTGTCCGAATCCAATTAAAATATTCTGTTCAAAAAGTATGACTAAATCCCCGTCTTATATAGACTGAATTAAACATACCTAAAATGTGTTGTTTTTAGGTAGTGCTTCATGCACAGTACGTGTTTTATTATTCATTACCATACCTGGCCATTTAACATTTATGTTTCTTATTTGGCAATTGGCTATTGATCATATTCAATTCCCAGCTCTTTTTATCTTATACTATCTAATTGCAGCCCTTATTCAAGTAGAAAACGGAGTTTCTTTTCAAATAAGATAAAGTCTATTAAATCCTTTCTTTTTAGGTGGCTACTATTCTTTATATTGCTCAATGGTTGGTACCATTTGTTTGGAAACAAGGACATGATCCAGATAATACATGTATACCGTATTTAACATCTGCTGGGGATTTTCTTGGCACTGCTCTTCTTACATGTGTCTTTATACTTCTTCCATAAATCGGCTATTTATTTATATATATATATATATATATAAGTATATGAGAGAAAAAAGGAAGAATATACTTGTTATATCATTTATGTATTTTTTATGGGTTCTGATGAATCGTTTTTGTTCTTATGCATTTATTTGGGAATTTATAAAAAAAACTGATTGAATGAACAAAAGAATGTATCTATTTTGGGGTTTATTCTATTTTATACATTTTTAATTATCTCAGATCATAGTATGAAATTTTCTTTATGAAAGGTTTTTCATTAATATCATGGAAGAAAACAATTTTTTATGATCATTCCTAGAGTAGTTTGCACTATTCATGTTTTTAATAATCTGAGGAAACTAAAGTGGCATGGTACTTACGCGATATTTCTCAAGGTTAAACGAATTGCTTTTTAATGATGAGAAAATATATTCATTCAAACGTCCTACGCATCGAAATAATATTAATAAAAAAACAATTACAGACATAAAGTTCATCGCTGTATTCTTTTTGTTTTTTTACAGATAAATCGAGTCATGTATCCCTAGTGACACGACTATCACAATTTGTTGCTTTGATAAATTTAATTATGGTGAATTTCATGAAATAATGAACAGATTTTATTCGTAAAATAATTAAATTTTATCAAAATAATTGCATTCAACAAAACAAGCCAAGAAATTAACGTCTTGAAAGTTAGAAATTGTTAATATTCTGCTAGATAATTATTTTTTTAGTTACTAGCTAAGTTAATAGGAGATGCATGATAAAATTTGTTCACTTTATAATCTTCAGAGTTCTGTTTGAATCAAGTGTATTATTTTCATCAAAGGTGAACCCGTATCGTTGATCGTTGATTTATTTATTCAGTGATCGATCTCACAGTGTAAATTTCGATAGTATTTTATTTCAAGAGAAACACACGAAAGCTATGAATAATATTTACTGATAATCTAATATATTTTGCCTCTAAATCAAGGGGAAAAAAGTGAAACTCACACTACTGCAAAATAGACTTGAAGTACAGCAGGAGTACAGTGAAGTAGAGTGGGAGTTCAGTGAAGTACAGTCGAAGTACAGTCGGAGTACAGTAGGAGTACAGTGGAAACGCAGCGAGGTATCAACTGACTTTCTCAATCATATATTTTTCTTACTAATGTATGATATCATTTAATATTTAGCTATCTAATCATAATCATGATTAGTAGAAGTTGTTTTCTCGCTTATAATACTATCGAAAGATGTTCACAGTGACTCTCCAAACTCATCCTTTTTCTGATTACTGGTACTCAATTAGAACCAAGTTTTCAAGTGGACATCGGTAGTATTCATTAATCATAAAATATCATTCTATGTGTTAAAAAATCATTGAGTTGAGACAATAATGTAAAAATATAATAAAATAAAAATAAAATTTTTTTATTTAATTAAATGCAGCACAATAGATTATGCTTGCTCAAATTCATAGCAATTCGAAAAAAAAAACATTGAAGATGCTGTTTTCTATAAACGTAAATTTTCGATCCTAGTGAGGATCATCATCAAACGAGTAACAATGTCGATGTAATATCAATGAAAATGCCAATAACATTGATATTCCAAATTCTAATTTGTCGAATAGCTGCTGATAATAGTAAAAAATCATTGAGTTCTGTTGTTCAGTTGATTTCTTTTGGGTGCTGATGAGGCTATTTGTGGGTGTTGAGTTTGTACCTAAATTGATGAAAACGGATTAAATATTGTTTTTGTGGAACTTTGAAATTTATCGTTTTGATTAGTAGGATTATAATGTGTTTTAGAATGATGTGTCTGTGTGTTTGTTGCGAAAAATCATGCGGTTGGTTGGATTCGAGCGTTTTCTGTTTCTTTTGTTTCCCGATGTCGGCTTTGTTATTGTAGTTCTTTATACTATGGAGGTGGGAAGAGAAAAGTCTATTCGTTCTAGGTTGATCGTTCTAAAGCTAATGTTGTGAGGGGACGCTCATTTTAATCTCCTTAATTTTTATTCTACAAATTAATTTTTTGATCGGCTACTTGTTTGGTATTTTTGAAGGTAACCTAATTAGTTTTTTCTTAGCTACAATTAAGATATGGTTTGTGATAGATGGATTTTCCGATGGAAAATATAGATGGGTTTTTACGTTTGAATTTTGGAGAAAATATATTAGCTTATTATCGTTCGTCAAAAAACTTACACCGTCGCTACCAAAGAATATTACTTGATCTTAAATTTCTCAAAAGGTGTAGATTTGCTGATGTTATTCCAAAATTTCTATGGTTTAAAATCTCAAATAATGATCTTCCCAAGAGAATCATTTAGACAGTAGGATCTTATCGGATTCCGACAAGGACCAGACAGTGAATATATCGAATACCATATATGTTTCAATAAAACCGACGAAATCTTATGGAATTCTTGAACACGGGCCTACAGTCGGATCCTTGGTATTTGATCCAATCGGATCCGATGTTGGATTTTAACGAAATCCAACTCTAATGAATCACCCTTGTGCTGAGCTCCGATTGCTACTTTTTACAAATATAGGAATCCTTAGAGGATTTAGTTTGTCAAATATATAGGATTTTCGATAAAAGATTTTGAGACATATTCTACCGAATTAAAGAAAGTTGATACATATTTTTTTCAAAATAGAAGAGTATTACCGATATATAATGCTCGAAGCGAGAGAAAATTTCATATCATTTTTTGTCAAAATCGGAGAAAATTGAGTTCATATTTTTCAAAAGCAGGAAGGGGTACCCTCCCCTCCCCGGTCGCGCCGCCACTGCCTAAAACCAATTAATATCAAACACGTAAAAAGGAATGAGAATTGTAGACTGGCATTTGATCATCAGTACTTTTAGATTCGAAATTCATTAGTATGTTTCTAAATCTCAATCTTTATTTATGTCCAAACTAGAATTGTGATTTACTTTCGATCAATATTGATTAAACAAGATAGATAATGCGGCTCTCGTTCTTAGCAAGCAATACTCTAAAGTTATTGTCTTCATTTTTCAGCTTATTTCGTCGTATATAAAAGACATGTTGACCATAATTTGAAATCCATAGATGTCATAATACCATTACACTGGGTATCGTGATTTCCAAGTCATAATACCCATCGAATTTTTTTTGGGGTATTACCCTTAGTGTATCAACTTTTATTTAACTATATGTTTTAAGTTGAGGAATTTGAGTTGTTTTGGGGTATTACCCTAAAGCGTAACAACTTGGATATCCTCGAAGAAATACACAAAACAACTCGAATTTGCATAAGATGCTCAATTCGAATTTGAATATAATTGATTCATGTACTGCACAGTAACACCTCGGAAAAACTTAAGGCACAGATATTGCTACAGAAAAATGCAAATAATATCATTTTATCTGAATTGTTTTTTAAATAATTTGAATTTAGACATGCATATTACTTAGACTGAAATGTATGGCATAAGTTATGATTCCTAGGAGCCTTCCCTGGATTCCTGACAATGAGTAACATTGGTAGAGGGAAGGCTACCGCTGCTGAAAGCAAGCCGGACCCTACTACATGAATGTCTTAGACTTCTAAAAGAATGCGTGAACTTGCTGAAACCATGTATCAAATTGCTAAGATTATTTCTCGACTTCCAACACCCTTGTCTCACGTTGTTGCCAGTACGGGTGGAGTCCTTCGAGAGACACCACAGGTACCGGAATACATACTTGTGCTGTTAGATACTTCATACAGGTTACTGCAACTGTGCCTCATCTTGTTACAGATATTCAAACCAACTTTCGCACAAATTAACCTATACATCTCGGAGCACCCAATTTCTTCCAGCAAACACAGGAATGCATCTAACAACCTTAGGTATGCTTCTATCAATCTGAGGTATGCTGCTAGAAACCTCAGGAATTGTTATTGCAAACGCAGGTAAGCTTGTAGCAGGCTCAACGTCATCAATGGATTCTTCGAAAATCTCGTTCTTATTTGATGTGGAATTAGGCAGCTTCTCCGAATTCCTTAACTTTAAAACATATAGTTATATAAAAGTGGATATCCTAGGGGTAATACACCGAATATACTTATAAAGTATGTTTAGCTGAAGAAAAAGTCGTTACCCGGTGTAACGGGATTATGGCATCACTCTTGAAATCAAAATAAACTTCATTTAAATATTCAAAGTCTTCATTACAAAATTTTCAAAGAAATCTATGACAAAACAACAACAAATAGTATTATCTTTATTTAAACTGTTTGCTCTTCTATTAAAATCTATAGATGAAAAACAAAACTAAATAACTTCAATTCAATAACAATTATATAACTAGAACAAATCAATTTGAAACCATGAATTCGAATGGAACAGTCTCTAATTATTAAAGTTATAACTAAGCAATATTGTGCCTAGTTTTGCCATTAAAAAAACTTAAACAGTCCTGAGTAATGCTCAATTAAAATATGTCATTTAAATGATACATCTAGTACAATTTAAACGACTTGAATTCTATTTTACTTTGTTATACTATGTCACTTAACAATTATTTTAAAATTTGCCACTATGAAATATATTGCAATCTGTCCATTTCATTCGTATTTAAAGTAAAAATACATCGTAAGTAGAGAGTTATTAGCTATGTGAGATTATCACCTAGCAAGCAGTGCAACCCAACCTAAAAAGAACACAAAACAGTACAGAATGAAAGAAGAAAAATCGGACTTTTTGCGATTATTCGTTCTCTTTGTCATGTTCTGTGTCACAATTTAAATACGAATTCATTCATTTCTTATTCTGCGATATACACTCTTGTTACTTGTCGATTTCATATTTTTATACAAGGAAGGTGGCCTCACTACTTTTCTTTCTTCAATATTCGTTTTGAGTCAAACGGTGGTACACATCCATGCGTACATACCTCACAACGTGTTCTTTTATTTGATTGGTTTAAAATATTTTATTTTCAGAGTTATTGCTTGATAAAAAGAAACAAGTCGATCAATTAATCAACTCAAATAATCGTACCAGAAGTACGGGGTTTTCTTAATGTTCAATCAATCGAAAGAAAATCAAGTAAGATAATAAATTTTTCCAGCAGTGCTATGAACAGAACAAATTGAAATTTTAAAGATACAAAATATCTTCTATTAATGACGTTTCGTTATTTTCCATCAGAAATGAATTTTCTTCTTTTTTTTAGATTCGATTGGAAGAACTTTTTCAAATTACAACACTAATCTGCAAATCCCATGCAATATTTACTGCTTCTCTGGTCACCGTTGAGTTTTTACTTGCCGAAAAAATTCTTGTAAATATTGATGTTTGAAATCTCTGTTAGTAACTTAATCTATGGCATAAATAATAAACTTGAGAAAATCTGAGCTGAAAAATTAAACGAAATAGTCATTCACATAAGAAATTCTTTTTTGCAAAATAAAATATATATTAAATTTATTATTCTAGATTTTTATGAGAAATATTATGGGAAGCAATGATTATCTGGTTTTCAATAAGACATGAAACTATCATGAGCAATTTATATCGTATGATCAAAGAAAGTGTACAAGGTTGCCATGAAATTTTTACTTTTCTTCTGTCAATGATATATATGATACTAAAGTTCAAATGATATATGAGCTATATGAAGTAGTTTCGAGAGACACTCAGAAATGAATGATTGTCTCAATCGAGAGAATTTTTTTCCTGTAGTAGAACTCAAAAAATGAAAGCGTTTTATTATAGAAAAAATTTTTTTTTCCTTCTTTCATTTTTTTTCTACTGTATAAAAAAAATGCAATCTAATGCAAATTTGATACCTACATCTATTATGAATCATAAAAAAAATCATATTACCTAAGTAATTTGAGGTGATAATGATTTGTGTTTAAACTAAACTTTATCTATTGAAGATATATATATATATATGATAAAGAAAGAATGACTATTAATTATTATGCCTCGTAAGTTATTTTTCGAATGATATTATAATTTGTTTTTAAACTAGATAATTGTTCTAATCTTACTGATTTTTCTTCTAGAATATCAATACAGCTAGTTGGTTACAAATCCCCTGTTTAGATGTCTAAATGTTGTTGTTGATTAAATATAATCGATGAGTCGATATCAACGACTTTACATATATATGTTACTTGGTTTTGCTATTTGGTTTTTAATTTTTATTAGTCAAATTTTATATTTTTCAACATTTTCGACGTCCGATTACTGTTGGTTTTCGTCTTGTAAAAAGAAATTTTCAGTATCTAATATATCCAGACAACGACATAGAATCATAAATTCAAATGAAAAATCTATTCTGGCACGCATTCATCATCAACCTCTATTACAACGGTATGAATCTTATCATGTTAATTTCGTTCGCTTAACAAAACCTCGAACATCACCCAAAAAATATTTAATTTATACATGCAATCAGCCATGTGGTGGTTGGGGTGATCGAACTCGGAAAATAGTCGGTGCCTATTTATTGTCGTTAGTCTTAAATCGGACATTTCTTATAAATATAACATGGCCTTGCCCAATAACTCATTTATTAGAACCGAATTTTATAAATTGGAATCAAACAATAAAAAATTTGTCGAAACTAAAACATACTACGATATATAATCTTTCAGCATCGGACAATGATTATCGTGAGGTAGTATCATGGACGGATATTGATGTAATTTTTTTTAAAGTTAAAGATCTGGCTTATTATTCGTTATTATTGTGGCGTGATGATTTTTATCGTGTTCTTCACATACACTATGGTTTACACCGTTCAACGTTATTTATTCATACTGTATTTACATTAGTATATGAATTGTTATTTAAATTAAAATCTCATCCACAATCTCATATAGATGAGATATCAGAAAAAATTCATCTGAGACATCTCTCATGTGCACATATACGTATTGGAAAAAATCCAACGAATCCCAACGATGTAGTGTTTCCTAAACGTGAACGAATGAATACAACTGTAATAGAATTTTTAAAAAATATATCGAAATCCAATGAATTGATGTTTATTTCAACTGACTCAGAAGAAATACAAAGCTACGCAAGAAAACAATTTCGTTCACGTTTATTAAGTATTGATGGAATTATAAGACATATTGATCGTTCAGGAAAAAAATTAGCATGCGATGGACTCGAAAAAACTATATTAGACTTTTACATGATTTCACGTTGTCATACGATGGTTATGAGTAAAAGTGCTTTTAGGTGAGTTTGATTTTGAGTTTCATTCTTTTTTATTTTCATTCTTTGTAGTTTTTGGGCAAATACACGTCGATTGAAACCTTATGAGAATTTGTATATATATTGTGATGGAATAAAACAAATTCGTGGCCCAGGTGATTATGACCGATATCCGTATGGTCGATGTTAAGAATCAAAGCTTTGTTATTATTATATACTAAATTTTTTGTCTGTTTTGCTTTTTTAATAAAATTTTACGATATAATGGACCGTGGCAATTGATAATTTATTATCAGTAAATAATCCTTCAATCGATGTCAAAGCGATTTTGTATGCGAATAAGATTCTATTAGTAATACGATTAATAAACATCTATGATGATTATAATGAAACAAGTATTCTGATTTTCTGAGAAATACTTTCTTTTCGCCAACAACTTCTTTGTTATTCGTGTCTGACATTAACACAAGATGCAACATGTGTTTTTAGTATATCATATTTACCATGATAAGTAGGCTTCCTTATATTTGTATTAATATATTATTGATGATCAACATGGGCATGTCGACTTAATCATTCATATACGAGAATCGTGCAAAGAAAGGATAAAGAATCAACACAAGTAATAGCAGCAAAGATCAGTGACATATGTATATATATATATATACATATAAGACACGGGAGAGAGATCGCTCCATAAAAACCACATTGCTATACTAGAAAGACAAACAAGAAAATAATGCAGAAGCTTTCTATTTCTATGTTGATGGTGATGTTTCCTCTTAAGATTGGTATGAGTTGTTTTAGTCTTGAAAATGTAAAGCAGAATTTTATTGAATTGCTATTATTTAGTTTCATCAATATCATGTTACAAATGCTTATCAATTAATGGAAGTAATCCATCGTGTGAAGATTCATTTCAAGGTGATGTAGCGAATGAACCATCGTTTCTTCAAGCACCATGCTTAACTCATTTACGTGGACGTGCAGGTTTATTTCCTGCAACACATTGTATCAAATTAGTTGCTTATTCGAAAGGTAAAATGAAGGACTTTTATTTTTATTCTTCTCAATCGAATTCAGGTTCTCTTGATTATAATAATAAATCTTGACTTCTCCTAGCACCTAAACCTACTCAATATATGTATCGAACATGCGGCCGCGATGAAGCTAATGATAATGGCATAGCTCATTCTAGTCATTGTGGTTTTGTTAAACTTCATTGGCTTCTGAAAAATCAACATTTTCGAGGTTGTTTACACACGTGTCATAGCGATGCATGCAATCGCACTTCTTATTCTAGTTATTCATTTTTGAACATTTTCTATTGTTTTAGTATATTTATTTTAGTTTTCTTCGGAGAATAATATGAACTAAATTGATATGTTGTGTATATTGTGATCAATTAATGTAAATAAAAAATTAATACTAAATAAAGATATCAATGATTTAACATATTGTTTTATTAATTGACATTGAGTAAAGGAGACTCGGAAAGGTCAAATATTCAGCTTTTTCTTAATGTATGAATTAGTAAAAATAGAATGCCTTAATAGATCAACGGTTTTCATGCTCAATGCACGATTTGATCACACCGAATTTTCTATTACCATTAAATTTAATGCGAAAATAAATTTATATATTTTATTATAGGAAAAACAAAATGCTTGATTCTTTTTTGAACTTATGATGAAGTAAATCAACACTTCATATTACTTTTTTTAACAAAAAAATCAACCAACTTTTGCATTGCAAAGAAAAAGGTGCGTAGTCAGCTTGAGATTGTTTCATTAAACTAATGTCTAGTCTAAACACTGACAATTTCAAGTACTTTCTACTTGATAAGAATGATAATTCATTAGCTATTGGGTAATGACTCCACAGATTTTGCACCATAAAGCTTGCTTTCTTTTTTATAAAACGAATCGGAATTAACATTCGAAATTTGAAGAGGATACTGCAAACTAATAAGTAATTACATACAATCTTAATGACTTGTAATAAATTACAGATTCACATTGACTTTATGAAAATGAATAAAATATATTTGTTCTTTCAAAAACATCGGGCCATATTTTTCTATATGAAGAAAAATATTATTCATTAGAGGTGGTCTTTTCTTAGTATTTTCAATTTTTCCTTTCCATCATCATAATTGCATAGAAATTATTTTTGGGGCGTTTCTTGTTTGTCAACTACGATGACGTAAAAATGAATATCAAATTCTGCAAAGCTGACTGTTGAACAATCTTATGTTAGCTGAATCGTAAAAAGAAATCTATTATTTTCTAAAGATTTTAATTGATATCGGTAATTGTGGATCAGAATTTTTCTATTCGTCTTAATTGAAGATTTCTTGACGATCAAAGCAAGAATATCAACTACTGATAATGAACGAAAATAAAGCGAACCCGATACTGGTTGTAATGGTTTTCTAAAATAAAATCATATTTTATTAAGTAAAGAATCAACTGTTCCGAATAGAAGTATTATTGGTTTCTGATTTGTTTACATATAGAAAAGTGAATTAATGCGAATCATGAACGAGAAGATTTCGAGTACAATAGTAGCTAATGAAATATGGCATATATCAAGGGGGAAAAGGCGGATTTGGGATTTTTTAGGACTTTTGAGATTTTTAAAATCCCAAAATCCAAAATGTGAATGATGAAATTTCCATCTGAATTTTTTCCCATATGTAAGCCTCATGATCCTTAGAATATTCTAAAATTTTCAGCGCAAACAGATATTTCCTTCTCAAGATAATGAATGCGCAAGAAATGCTCATTTCACGGCGTGGTCAGAAAATCCAGTTTTTTTGAAAATTCAATGTTTTAAGAAGGAAACATTTGTTCGAGTTGAAACTTTTAGGATCTTTTATGGACCATGAAACCTATATATGGGAAGAATTTCAGGTCGAAACTATGTCATTCACAGAGGGGAAAATGCTTTTCAATTTATGGGATTTTGAAAATCCCAAAAATCCGCTCTTCTCTCCCTTGGCATATATACTTATATTTCATTTAATAATTATAATGTTTTCATCAATGTATTGCATTGTGCAAAGATGAAATATTGATTATTTTCTTCATTTTTTGGACTGAAAAAAAAACAAGTGGTTAAAGCTTTTTATTCTAACCATATAAGCTCTGACGCCAGTGAATGTGACATCGAAGTTTATGACTCTTTGATCTCTTACACAATTAATAATACTGATAAATAAATACATGAAACAGATACATAGCTCATGGATATATTGATCTCGATTGATACAGATAATACGATTGTATAAAATCGATAGACAGACTAGTATGAGAAAGTAACAGATGTTACAAATGTAAATTTACATTCAGTTAGTTGCTTTTTATTTATTAAGATATCTCTACAAAATTCCGTTTTGTTTTCTAAAATAAAATAAAATACGAACAATCAATTTTAGAAACATTTTAATTCTCATACTAAGGAAGCTGTTGAAACATAGATGGTCAATAATGTATTTATATTTTCAATATTTGTATTCTATTAATAAATGACATTTGAAAGTCTACTAGACGAGCCACAGATGACATGAAATAGACATTTATCAACAGAACACTATCTAAATATTAATGACAGATGTTTGTCACAAGTATGTGAATGATTTAGAGCATGAAGTCGGGTGCAATTGTTAATTCGATTTTTACTAGCGAACCTTTTGAAGAAATATAAAAACAAAGAAATGGAAAAAAGCAAAAATCTATATTAACTGCTAAGTTCCCATCAATAGGTTACAATGGAATGCTCAACTGTTTCTAACTTCCCCCAAGTATACAACGTATAGGCATAAAAAGAAATCACAAAAGTAATGTTTATCAAATGAAGATAGGGATAGAAATTTTCGTTTGGTTTACAACCTTTTCAATTATTTGTATTCTACGAGTCGTATGCTCTTGGTTTTGCCAACAAAAGTAAATTATTAGGATATGGTCTGATTAAAAACAAAAAAGAAATAGATCATGTTAAATTGCTACTAACGGTTTTCTCATATTTTGACTAGATCTTAGAAATGTTTTGATTTTCTTAATAAGATAAAAATTTAATCGGATGTAAATACATATTTAGATAGAGTAATCAATGCTCTATTAAATAATATAGAAATAAAAAATTCACTCTAAATTTTCAGACGACCAGACAAAATCTCATGAGTACATCTTTTTCAGATTCTATTTCAAACTGCAACTAAATTATTATACAATATACTAAATGTTTTCTGCTAAAATCCTAATTTCGAGCTGTCAGTATTATTATTTAATACATCTTGAATATTACACTGATATCTATTGGATATTGATTTCCAAGAGAATGGCAGGATTTATTAGGATCATATTTCAGCTTGCTTAAATTGCAACTTTGCACTAATAAACAGTATCGAATTTATTTCGAAATGCTTAGGAATTGATTGGAAAATTCCAATAAAATAAATTCCACTAACTATTTGGTTTCTCCCACTTTAATTCCTATCAACCATAAAAATAGATGTGACAATTTCAAATCAATTTATAGTGCCAATATATAAAAATACAAGAATTACTTATTCTATTATTCTAATAAATAGTAAGCTACAGCAAGATGAATATTTAACAATGTAGAAGTGAGAGTTATTAAAGTTAAAATCGTGCTTCATTATTATGATTATCATCCAGTTTAGGTAATTCTACTTGTAGTACTAATTGACTGGCATATTTATATTGTTTGTTATGTCGATGTAAATCGCGTATGTCTCTTATCATTTTTTTACTTTTGACTATCGCACCGGGATTTTCATGTTTCGCTCGTGAATGATAATATTCAAGTACAGATCCATTTTTACGTGGTACAGAATCGCGAAGTTCAGGTATTTGATCAATAAGATATTCAACGAATGTTCGACAATTATTTAAAACTACATGATAATTTGGATGCTCTTTTATATAGGTTTCTGCTGTTCGAATTAGATGATCTAATGCTGTTGGTGATTTAATTTCACCAATCAATTCAATTTTAGATATTGATTCAGGTACTTCCTCCAAATCAACAATATTTAATTTCATACTTTTACGGACTCCTTTCGCATGATCACCAAGATCAATTTCCATTAATAATAAAGGATGTTCATCAGTACATGCTATTAAAAATGTATGTCGAGCACGACTATCTCCCCATAGAAAAGTTTCAATTGAATGTCCTATGGAACTAAGCTGATCTTCCATTTCACGCCAAACAAGAAATAAATGCATGGTAGCAATCGCGTATGATGCTTTGAATCGTATGTGAAAATAAAACGATTTAAGTGTTTTTAGTGTTTCTTTGCATACCCAAATATGTATGACTCAATGTCAATACGCAATTATATTTCGGTCATATGAATACAGGAATGCAATCATTTCTAAAGCAAATATCCCTCAATGATGATTTATACATCGCTACTCTTGCTCGAATATATATATATGCAAACATGCACAGGTGATAGGAAGGCATAGAAAAAAATTCAGGGATGAAAAATATTTTGTATCGTTCGATTTATAGAAAAAAACACGACAAAGGATAAACGAATTGATATATCGTTGAAGAAGCTTTTGTTTTAAACCTTTTACCTTTATTAAAAAGAAAATGGCAGACAATAATGTCAATTTGACATTGTTGACTTTTGCTATAGATATTTAGCCACGTACTATTGTAAGAATATCTCTTCACACTAAATATAGTCTTCATTCTTATTTAGTATTGTGTGTGAGCGTGCCAATCAGTAGGTAGACTATTTTTAAAGCAGAAAAATCCTAGTGAGGTTTCAAGTCAAAAATTAATCTTGTGTAATTTTCTTTGCTTAAAACGACAAATTTTTATCACAATATAAAAATTACACCAACATATTTGGTTAAGTACATATAAATACAAGAAGACATACTAAAAATACTAGCATATTTTATTATATTTTTCCAACACTAGTAGATACTCAACTAATGTATTGCTTAATTAATAATCGAGATCCTTAACCATTGAAAAGTAAAAAAGCTTTTGATTTATGAAAATTAGTAAAGCAACTTCAATGAAATAAGCAAAGTAATACCATAGAATAAAGCTCTTCGACCCTATTACAGAGAAAAAAAGGGAAATTTGTTTTTATTGCTCTAGTTGGCAGTCGTTGTGTGTAGTAGCATAGTTTTTAATATGGGTTTGAATAATTATAATAAATTTCACTACTTCAAATAAATCAATTTTCTGTTATTACTGGAAATAATAATCAATTTGGAAATGATAACGACAACTTAGCGATATAATTTAGATAAAAAAAAACTGCTAAATAAAAGGTTGAATCGTGCATAAGTAAAACAATCAAAATCTAAAATTATTCGTAATGCTACCTAATAAAAACCGTAGGAAATCACTTTTCATCTTCTAGTGAAAGTCACAATTCAGTATTTGCTATATAATCTGCTCAGAAAAGCGAAGTCTCGTATCGAAAATCTAGGCGAAGTTCATGAACAACTATGTGGTCTATTTTAATCGAATTGTCTAGCCAGTGATAGACTCGAATATGATCGATTGTGCTCGTATCAGGTGAACAATGTCGATTGTCTTCGAATAACATCGTATTTTAAACTATAAAATATAGAAGAACTTACAACAAATGCCTTCAATCGAATCTCTTGATCATAAAAAGCCATGTTACATAAGAATATAGAAAGGTATCAAAACTTAATTATATGTTTGACAAACCTATTACAATTCATATTTTAAAGACACCCAAGACGGATCCTTTCATCTCTCGCAAAACAGTAAATCAACAAAAGTAATACTGGGTATATTTCGGTACTAGTTAAAACCAATTGCTAACTTAGTTTCCCTTTCAGAACACATATCAACGTAAAATTTTACACATTTTCTCATTATTATTAAATCAAAAGGCAACAGATATCTATTGATTATCTTTAAAAATGAAATCAGATAAAATGATTCTTTTCTATTCATTTGAAAGACAGAATTAAAAATAAAATGATAGATGAAATCAACCTTCTCTAGATTGATTAGAAAGATTATCGAAAATTTAGAAATTCGATTACTACGCTACCGCTATTGCTCAATTGTTAACTATCTTGTCAAACTCAAAATTGACATCTTGTGTGCATACGATCATTTTAATATGCTATGTGCAAATCATCGGTGATGGGAAAATCGCTTCTCATAGACGTAATCAATTAAATAAAAGCATACCATATACACAAATGAACCAATGATACTCCTCAATAAATAATCCTAAAATTGATTCGAACTACACAATATTGAAATCATCTATCTAGTGAAATTTCTTTTTACTTTAGACATCAAATTTGACATATATACAGCTTTTGACAGAAAGTTTGATCAGTATGTAGTGAAAAAAAGAAGATCTTCACATTTGTTACTTTGATTTTCATTTAAAAAAAAAGCTAACATCCTAATCCGAATGTAAAAATAATGCTAAAAAATGTCTTATAGTTTTTAACGTGAAAGATTTTAACGAGGTTTTTTCAAGAAAATGTGCCAGATTTTGAAAAAATTGATTTTTTTCGCTAGTAGAAACTGAAATTTATATTGTTCAAGAAGGAAGACACTCCTATCTTTGCCTCGTTTGCGCAGATGTTGGATGTAACAAAAGTTTTCTGAAGACTATTGCAACAGCATCATTGATATTTTTTCACTATTATTCATTTTTCAAAACAATCTTTCTAGAAAATTTATCATGGCTTTTCAAAAACGGAAGGATGCACACCTCCCACACCCTAACGACCTTTAATAGACTATCAAACATTCCTTTTTTTGTTGAAAAAAAAGCTATAGCATGCCTCGTATTGTTTGGCATGTCTTTTTTAATTATTGTAAACAGTTTCGTTTATAGGAACTGTGAACTTAACAAATTGCCATTAACGACTATTTCGTTTATTTTTCCACCACAAAATAAAACTTTCAATATGACCGAAAAAAAATGTAACTGACAAATATCTAATTGGTTAATAAAACGAATTGACTAGAAAAAAAGAAAAATGCTTTTTGGTTTCAACAATGATTGGTTACCAAGCACCAATCGTACCTTTTCTTTGCTCGCTTCCTTATTTCTATGCAATCGCCAACGATGATAATAATGATGTTGACGCTCGAATGATTTGTGAGAGAAAGGTGAGACCGAATGATTTGACAGCCGTCAAACGAACAAAACATGAAACAAACCTAATATATATATATATACAAACGTATATGAAGATTGCATCTATCGAATAGTGTTACCGGCGACACAGGAGAAAATTGAAAATGAGTAAGAAGGAAAGAAGATGTATATATTCTTCTCTATCATTTAGTTAGGTAAATTGTCTTTTTCTTTATGTCTATTGATGATGATGCTTAATACGCGTGAAACTCAAATTTCGCACTTGATATATGAAAAAGGCCGATCTGGACACAGTTTATTAACCATCGACTAAGAGAACATTTCATTTTCATTTTTTTTTCTTGATCTTCCCTCATCATTCTAAACGGGAAGAAAAATAAAATATATCTATCGCCGATCCCCATCTTTTATAGATACTAGTAACGGAGAAGCTGATTTAAGCGAGAGAAAGAGGCCGGAAAACGTGAAAAAAAACGAGCAAATTATCTGTTGCCGCGTGCGTTAGCGTATCATCGTCGTACATATTTTATAATAAAAGTTATGCTTTCAAATTCGACTATAACACCAACAATAAATCGAGCGACTAATTCAACATCAACATGGTCTCATCCAGCGCCGCCAATGCTCTACCATCCACATCCGCTTAGTTATGAAGGTAACTATAGAAGCAAATATGCTCCTAAGTTAATTAATAAAATTGAATCAAGATTCTATGATTGTCTTAAAATTGACTCGATACTTTGTCTTGTTTTCGTACTAAGAGATCTATCAACTTTTTTTAGTCTTACTCATATATATTTTTTTTAATTTAACAATTCTTACAACAATTGACTTCAAGTTTTTATACTTAAAAAAATGAAGTTCCGAAAAGATGAAGGTATTATTAACTTACAATTTAATTTTTTTTAAAGGACAAGGTCGTGTAAATCAATTGGGTGGTGTATTTATCAATGGTCGTCCATTGCCCAATCATCTTCGTATGAAGATTATTGACATGGCTGCACAAGGTATTCGACCTTGTGTCATTAGTCGACAGGTATTGAAAGAAATTTTCTTTCTGTTTTTTTTCGTCTCATCCATTATTAATAATATTCCAATTTCTATTTTTAATAAAGTTACGTGTTTCTCATGGATGTGTTTCGAAAATCTTAGCACGTTATGCTGAAACAGGTTCGATAAAACCAGGCTCAATCGGTGGCTCGAAAGCAAGAGTTGTAACTGCTGATATTGAACAGAAAATTGATGAATATAAAAATGCATATCCACATGGACCAATGTTTGTTTGGGAAATACGAGAAAGATTATTACGTGATGGAGTTTGTAAACCAACATCATTACCCAGTTTAAGTGCATTAACACGAATGTTACGCGATGCTGGTAGTAATGTTGACGGAAATAATCTAACAGATGAACAATCATCGTCAAATATAACCGATCAAAATGAAAATTCAATAGAGGATAAAAGTAATTGAAAATTTGATAAATTTTTCTTTTTTCATGTATCTCTAAAAACAAAACTTTTAAGTAGATAGTGCTCGTAGTGGTAGCACAGACAAGACTACTAGTAATACAACAAAAGGTCGTCGATATCGAACAAGTTTTAGTCAAGACCAAATTGAACAATTAGAACAGGTTTTTCAACGAACACACTATCCTGATGTACAAGCACGAGAGGATTTATCAAGACGAACAGGTCTTAGTGAAGCTCGAGTACAGGTATTGTTATATTATTTGACTTATGATAGTAGACTTATATATATATATTCAATAATAATCAATAGGTATGGTTTTCTAATCGTCGTGCTCGTTGGCGAAAAATTGCCTCTGCTCATCATCAAAATCAACAACAACAGCAACAACAACAAATTTCACATATTCCAACAACTCCTAGTCCATTAATGTTTTCGACTGGGGCTACTGCTACAAGTAGTGCTAATATTTCAGGACAAGCAACTTCATCCTCTCGTCTTCATTTTACTCCTTTTTGTTTTCCAGCAATTGATACACAGACCTCAGTCACTGGTCCGTTTTCCTCCTCATCATCATCATCATTAGGTTTCCATGTGCCAAATGAATGTAGTAGTAGTGCAGCCAATACTTTATTTCATAATCAACAACAACAACAGCAGCAGCAACAATCTTTTTATGCCCGGTATACTAATGGTTCGTTTCTATTGATAACATTATTCATTCATATCCGTAAAAACGATTATTTTATTTTTATTTTGATTACTTAGATTATGAACAAATTTATCGATCAGCAGGAAACTTTCCTTATTCATCTACAAATCCGAACAATATTATGATGCATGGACAAGTACTTCCACCGCCACCTCCATCAACAGCTGCACCTTCATCATCATCATCATTTTATACGCCGAACATATTTGATGTTCATAATGTCTATATGTAAACTTTGTTATTTTTCTTTTTCGATCAATTAAAACAATACATAATATCAGTTCAAAACATTTTTACATTCTATTGCTATTCTTTTCATTAAAAAAACATCTTCACATTTTATTACATTACGATGATATGAAAGAAAACTATAGAAGAATTTTCCATCGAGATTCTAGTGAAGAGATTTTCTATGATTCATACAAGTGTCTTCTATGTTGGCATGGAGTTAAATTTACATATGTATACGTCTCGATCGATCAGAATAAATATTGCAAGTGTCTATTAGAGATATAGCGCAAAGATCATACATTTGATTATTCATAAAATAAAAGTTGTATTTTACTAACTATTGAAAGTTTGATTATTGACTTAAGATTAAGAGAACCTCATTAGATATAAACTAATGATACTTAAGTAGAAGCTGATCTGAGAGTTGTTTGTGCAAATGAATTTTTTTTAAGTTTGGGCTTAATGAATAAAAAAGACCTTAGTGTATCTACTGCTTGACCAATAGAAAATTCCTAGTGTTAGCGAAAAAATTTTTTTTTTATCTAGACAAAGTTTTGAAGTTTCGAGATCAAACTCTGCATACTAGAGTTCGTCATAAGATCTGTGTAATTGTTAAAAGGAAAGGAAAACAGCTTTTCAAAAAAAAAGAACATCGCATTAAAATTAAATATCCGAAATAAATTATGTTAGTTTCAAGCGATTCCGTGTGATAGCACAATTACAACAAAGAATTTTATTATTCTATTTATAGGTATCTATGTTCTAGTACGATGATAATCGGCCTAGAACTAAGACAGAATATAACTTACACTTTTAGTTTTTTTCGTACTCTGATTCAGTCTCTTTTGTATATTGAATTCAAATTCGAAAAACAAATTTGATTATTTGTAATAATTCGCTCGAGAGCGTTGTGCTGAATGATAAAAATACATTGATAAAGCAATTAAATTAAATTAAGCTTGTGCAATATTTTTTTCTCGTTCGAATTTAAATGGATTCATGATCTTGAATCTTTTCTCAATCTGTTGCTGTATGAGAAATAGATTTTAAATTTTCATCTCAATAGATTTTGCAATCTAAATATTTATTCTTTTTAGTTTCTGTATTTATTTATGTCGTTGTCCGTGTTTTTGTGTAGAAAAGATAAACAGCTAGAACATGTACATTGTAAGTTCAATATTTTATCAAATTATGACGCTTTTCTTGCAATTTTTTGGTGATTCCAATTTTTCTCTGACTTAATTCGATGACTAATGAAACCCCATACATGGTTGACCATAAAAGTTAAGTGAATATGACATCTCTATTCAGAAACTTACACACACACACACACACACACATTCTCTCTCTCTCTCTCTCTATATATATATATATATATGTGAATATGAGTCTCAATGATTTGTTTCAAATCTTGAGGGTGCAGTTCCTCTATTAATTAGCATAGTAGGTTGTATGTAATACAGATTATGTTAACTGATAAGTGATTAACCTATTGGTAGTGTGCTCATTGCTGAAACACACAAAAAGAGTAAAAACACATATTTCTATATATGATAGTACATTCTAAGAAAATCTCTCTGAAGTTTTGGCACATAGATAATTGTTACAATCAATCCATGTTAGCTTGTTTCAAATTCTTCTATGAAATAATGTCATTAAACAGCAATCAATTTTTTTATTTTCTGAGCAGCAAGTCAAAGAAACGTCTCGTATTTTTACTGGAATCATTATTAAGCTCCTTTTGAAAAATTAGCAACCTCTCCTTTTTAATTGATTAAATGAGAAAAGTAACAATCTATTTACAGTATCGAGTATGATGTATCCGAATACTTGACCAGGTGTGATTTATTTTGGGTGTGATTTATTTTGCGATAAACGAGAGAGAGAGAGAGAAGAACAATGTATCAATAATCTACTAGTAGATAATGAATACAAGAAGGAGTTAATGAACAGTGAATTTACATCTATAAAAGAAACATATATTTCAATTAAAACATACAAGTGTGAAAGTAATACAAACAATAAATGATATGGTCAAAACATATACGTAATAGAACAGAAGATATATCAAAGATGAAGAATAGTGTCGTCACACGAGATTTTACAGGTACAAACTGATATTATGGTTTTTTTCAAGATATGAAAATATATGCTGAACAGCGATACATGCGCAGATCGAATGTCTGCCACAGAGTCATCTTTACCTTTTTCGAGTTAAATATTCAAGAAAAATGATGACTATTATTAATAATAAGCACATAAATTAGAGATTTTGCTACCATAAATATGTTCTATTTTTTAGTGCGAATCATTCAACTATTTAGTGTACTACTGACGCACATTTTAATCCAATTGAAACTTCAGACTCATCAAGTACTTTTTGACACTTTTAAGAATATATTCTCATTAATTCTGAATTAGATAGACCATGGAAATTAGATACTGATATTAAGACATATATTAAATACAAAATAAGCTGGGAAATCTACTATTTAAATAAAAGTGAGATTGTGAAGGTTTATTTGTAAATCCAAAGTCTTTTATAGATAATTAAATAAGTAAGCCACTGATCATTATATTCTGGTAGTGAAAGAAATAAAATGATGTTCATTCAGATGTATAGCGTCAATTCAATGAAGTAAGAGCTTAGAAATAAGAGCATATCTATAGTTATGGATAGTGACTACAAAAATGATGCAATCGACAGATATCGTTAACATATTTTTCCTGTATCTTAAAGATCTGCTTTTCGTCAGAATACAGGCAACAATATGTTATGTCATAGTAACGTAATTGCAGGTTCATTCATTTATGTATTGATTACTTTTTTGCTCAACAATAGAACGAAATAAGATTATCTTTTCATCTTTTGACAATTATTTAACTTTTTTTTGTACGAATCGGTAGACTTGTGCTCTAATTTGACATTTTCTGCCTGAAAAATTATTAATTTGGAAAGCCACCACAATAAGTATACCGAAAATCATTGAAAAGTCGTAACAAAAGATTGCTTTCTCAGCTGTTCTTTAGTTAATTTATTTTTCAATATAGCTGTAGCAGAAATATTAGATTGTATGAGATCATTTTTCTTAATTGGCATTCAATTTTGGAAAATTATGTTGGAACCCACTTCTATTTATACCAATCATACTTATGGATTCTCTTGTAAGCTTGTGCAAGCACTGAACTAGACATTAATAATTGTTTTAAAAGCATGAGTGAGTCATATTCAGAAGGAACGTTTGTGACAGCAACACCTATTATATCGATTAAATTATATATCCTGGTTCCTTAATGAAAAGTTGAAGCAAAAGTTTGCTAACGCTTAGCTTTAGTTTAAATCGAATTACATGAAATACCTACCTAAGTTTTATGTCTTGGGTTTGATATAAATAGAACATGAAACGAAAACCTTATACATTATACCCCGTACCCGAATTTTTGAATGATCTGTATTTGCCTATGAATCATCTTTTGATTATTTCATATTTGTTGAATGCTGTATTCTGTATTACAATGATAATTGGTAGGTGTGTGCGAGTTCTAGAAAGCATAAAGAATTAGCGTATATGCGAACAATAATATTATAATGAGCTTTTTTAATTTCGCTCTTTTATTGTTACTTACACTCGGAAGTGCTTACAAGAATTGCCGTGAAAATTTACAGCTGTTTGATTATCACGGCAATGAACTATTAAGCGTGCAGAAGAGAGCACAATACAATCATAAGATGCCACGCTTGCTAGATAGAATACGATGTATAAAATTATACATGTAATAGCCCGAAAAAAAATAGAATAATGAAGGAGAAAACGATAATAAGAAAAAATAAAAGAGAAAAATAAAATAAGGACGAGCTGAAATAGCGATATGTAGAGAGCACGAAACATTAAATAAACAGTCAAATGGTGTATTTCAGTCAACTAAAAATTCGAGCTATGTCAGAAGCAACGGTTGATGTCTCTCACGTTTGCGTCTGACTCGCTTCATTCGAAAAAAATGACCTAGATGATCATTCTTATTTTTACAAAATGAATCCCAATAAAACATATCATTGTAGAAGGGCGAACGACCAAAATCTGATTTTTCAATTCGTTCTAATCTTTTCTTTATATATCGCTTCGCATAGTCTTCTAAAGATGTTTCATTTGTTATTTGTAAAATGTTTGTTGCTCGAGTAAAAGAACAGCAATGAACTAGCCTTAATCCGTTCCTAAACTTTCTTAACGGCAATTCTTTTTGGGTTATCGTTAGGACTGGATACAGTGGAAACACCCAGGCAAAATACGGAAAACTGTACGCGAAGAAGCATCTTCTCAAAACATTTGTTGAGACATTTTTGCCATCTTTCATCCATCTTAGATTACTGAAAGTTCGTTGAATATTCTCAAGGGTTTTATCAATTGTTGGTTTTAAGAACATCTTATTTGTCCAGGCGAAGCCTATATATTTAAACTCTTTAACTACATATAATCTCTTACCATTCATAAAAACATCGATATCTGGATTTTTCACTTGTATGTGAAAAGCCTGTGCTACTGTTTTAGACACATTAACTGGTCGTTTCTATTTTTTCGAATAATTCGCTATTTGATTATAATTTTTTGTTCCTTCCCCTTTTAGAAACTTAATCGCTGACATTATTTCTCGGCATATTGGTGGAGATATGAGTATGTTGAGATCATCAGCAAATATGTGACTAGAATAAGCACTTACACATGCAACTAGGTCACAATGGTAAACAATTAACAGATATGGACTTAAACTACTACCTTGAGGCAGACCGACGTATGTATAAAATATATCTGACTTGTTCTCTCCAAATATAACATATATGCACGGGGATCATTTAACCACGATACAATTAATTTTAATAGTTCTAAAGGAATGCTGAGTCTGTTGAGTTTTACGATAAGGCCTTCGCGCCACACTTTATCGTAGTCCTTTTGATAGTCTACATAAATTGGTAACGTTGGGATATTAGCAGTCATATTGTTTTTG